CTGGCTATTTTTGATTTGGCCAGCGCTTACCTTTAAATAATAATAATAACAAAAGTAATTTGTTAAACATATTACCAAAAGAATTGAGTCTTATAATTTTTAAACTAGAAACTCAACTAAAACATGTACATCAATAAATATACTTATATGTAAAAAGAAAGAAAAAAGGAAAAATCCTGATGAATAGTTTGTCATGAAGTACTTGGTTAAGAAAAAGAATCCAAGATATTTTCATAGTAAATAAGTAAAAAGTCAAATAACGAGATCATACAGTGACGTTCGACCTAACTAATATACAAAAATCTTGACAAGATGTTAAAATATATAAAAACAAAAATCTTGACAAATAGTGATATAATTAATTATCCAACAATCAACAAATATCGACTGAACAAAAATAAATAAATAACGAACACAACAAAAGAAACAATCAGAAATGGCCAAATATTAGTATAAATTGTTATTTTAATCCTTCATTAAATTGAAGTAAGCGTAAGAATGTGGGAAATAAATAAATAACGAAGCAGAACAGTGGGCTTGTTAAAGCGGTTTTGATCAAAACCAGGGACTTCCTCACTAGCCGTGGCTCGGAAGATGCCAGTTGTCACACCAAATTATTTTACTAAAACTTATCGCATATTAATATGCATATGTTCATATGCTATTTTTAGTCAATGTCTGGTTGTTGTCGAGATTTTCTGTTAAAAATATATATAATAAGCAAATTGCATTGGGACGCATACTTCTGAAGTTCAGATAAGATAAAGGATGGAAACGTAAATAGCCCGTTATGTTTTGCTATTTTAAGAGCAATCTTTCTATTCACGTATAATATTTGTTCCAAATAATACAATCACTGAGAATGGTTTTATAATTCAGTGGCTTTATTTTAATAGTCAATATAAACAACATTTTTATGATAAATATGATGAAGAATTTGAAGATCAATTAGCTTAGTTTTTGCAAGAAATGTGATTTTTGCCATTATTTGTTGGTTCTTAATGATAAACTTTAGACAAAGGTTTAGGAGCTTGGAAATTTATTCAGACTTTCATCTTGTGTAATGAATTAGATGAAACTTGAGATCATTTATTTTTTAATGTTCGTATTCATATACATTGTGGTTTGATGTCGTAGAGGAATTTTTTTTTTTTTTTAATACTGGTTAACTTAAATTGGTTAGAAAATCTAAACTATATATTATCACTCAATTTTCAATTGTTTTTTTCGATTAGTGTCAATAGAAAAAGGCAGTTCGTATCGTCCGATTTATCAACAAAATCATCAGAAACATAGTATTTTCTACAAGATCTAGAACCTCACTTCGCTACAAACAATTTCTCTAGAATTGGTTTAAACTAATAACAAATAATTACTTTGCATATTTTTTCGTTTTCTTTTTTTTTTGGTTTTTCATTAAAAACTTGTACATTTGGACGAAACATTCAATTTTAAAAAATAATAACTAACTCGTTAGTAATCGATAACTAATGCTCAAAACTGGTATAAATTACTGGCATTATTCAAAATGCTTACATTGAGATAAATAATAAATATGATTTTATCTTTAAACCTAGTTCAGGATTAACCATGATATTTCTTTATAATATTATTTAAATAGACATTTTAATAAATAAACATTATTTTTGTAAGATATTACATAGTATAGCATTACAAATATAAAGAGATAATTGAAATAGCAAAAAGATATAATTATTTTTTAAAATTATTGAATCAAATATGTAAAATATATGTTTTCCATTTATGAGATGATTTATTATTTAGTTTTCTAATTACTATAATACTAAAATTAATATATGTTTTAAATAATAATTATTTTATATAAATATTTAAAAACTCTGTTCTACGAGGGTATTATTCATTTATATATTTTAATTGATTTAGAAATCCATATAAGATTCTTGTATTTGCAAATATAAGCAAATACGAAAGTCTTACCTCAGATTTAAGTCTTTGTATTTTTAACATGAAAATCATCTAAATTCACTTAAATTCACTAAAATCCTCTTTCAAATCAAATCCATAAGTAATTCAGTATGATTAAATAGTCCATAATTTGAAAATAAAATTTTAAATCATAGAAATAATAACACTAAATTTAGTTTGAATTTCCAAATTTATTAAAATACATAAACCAATAACTTCCATTACGTTTTACTATAAATTATTATATTTTATTTGACTATATAAAAATAAAAATATATTTGGTGAACTTTTACGAAGAACTAATGAACACATGATTTTTAAGGTCTCACAACCATCTTATAAGATGTTAACAAAATCAGAACAATATTTATTTACATAGTTTCTTTTTATTTCATAAAAAAGCACATTCAGAAAATAAATATAAATTATTTTAATACTATTTCACTTTCACAACTTTTAGTTTATAAAAATTAATTTATATAATAAATTAATAACAATTCATTAATATTTAAATTCAAAGAAATAAATTTTATAGCTGTCTAAATCATATTTTCATTTTGTAAAGACATAATATAATATAATTGTGTAACGTTTATAAAAAATTTAAATTTTGTTTGAAAAAAATATAATTTAAAATAAAATAATTGTTCTGCATTGTAGCACAGGTTAATTCCTAATTAATATAGAAATGATTTAGGTAGGTGGGAGCTAATCAACAATTTATATTCTCTGAATCTTTTCATCTACTTAAATATTATTATGGAGACAGAGAGGAGGGGGGGGGGGTTGAAATCTATGTTTAAATTTAAGATTTTATAATTCATCCAAAATTATTTTCAGGAGTCATGACTATCTAACTTAATATTTCGTTGATGATGAATGTTTAAACTTATAATTGATGCCATTTGTCTAACTTAATTGATGATGTTACTTCAGTTTCGATATCCTCATCAGTGCTGACGCGGCTAATCGGGTATAAGTAGATATCCAGCTTACCCAAAACATGTGATTGGCTGATTCATTATGAAAACCACAATTATTTTTTTAGTTATTGATTAGTATTTGGTACTGATCTATTTTATTCTAAGAAAATGTTATTCAATTATGGTTTTTATAAATTTAAACTTCAACCTAGAGAATTCACTTTAAATTCATTGTTAAATAACACCCTATGAATCCAACTACTTGCTATCTTATCTCTTCTACTAAATGATATTCCCTCCGTTTCACAAATAGTGTCGTTTTGATATTCTTCACACAAATTAAGAAATAAGATAAAATATCTCTTATACCCTTATTAATTTGCAGAAAATGACTCTTGAAATCATATTTATAATTAATTTTCTGAATTTATTGAAATTAAAAATGATATTTTATGTTAAAAATTACATTGGAATTTTAAAACAATATTCTTTCTGAAACAAAAAAAAGTGTCAGAACGACATTCTTTGTGAAACGGAGGGAGTGAGTTTTTTTCTGCATGCCCAATGCTCATTTTTTGTTTTTACAATCTAATTTCATCATATTGAATACGAAAGCAATTATGTTGTGACATTAAATAGAATTACTATTTATAAGAGCTGTAACGTAGGCCTTTTTAATAGTTGTTCATAATATTAAAATTTAAAAATCTTTGACCACTGTATATCTAAAACACATCCTAATAACTGGGAAAATCCTAAATTATCGTTTTGAAAAAACATACGTATAATAATTACAAAAAAAACAAAGATTATTTTCGTTTGTCAACGGATTAGTTTATTTAGAACTCACATTTTGATATCTTGATGATGTGATTCATGTTTTGACTTTAGAACGATATTATAATTAAATACAAAACAAAAATGGAAGACATCTGGTTTGTAGGTTTAAATATGATAATGCAGAAAAGTACGTCATACGTACAACGAAAGGACGAATCAGAATAACAAAGCCAACTCACTGATCATATATGCAATCAATAAATAATTATGTAATTAATTAAAACAAACACTCAAGTCCAAGATCTATTAACCCAATACAAAAGTAGGTACACGTCAATTTTCGTGCTGTACCGCTTAGCTTTCCCGACAGCCATTTGTTGGTGTGTAATTGTTTTTTCTATAATTTGTTTTTAAAAAAATCCAACAATTTTTTTTTTCACTAAAGTTTTTCCATTATATTATACAAATGAATAATACGTGACTGAAATACGGTTTAGAATACTAAATCGGCGGAAGCAGAAATATCCCAGAGTCTAAGCCCGATATACAGGAAACGATACCCAATTAACAACAGAAGAACATAAAAAGCTAGACCAAAAACAACATAAACCATAATAAACTGATTAATCCAGAACTCCAACAAAAGAAGAAGCCACAAAAAAAAAAAAAACGATAATGGAGAGGCTTAACAACTGACAATAAAATATGGAAAGTTACACAAGCTTATTCAACTCAGTCTAAGAACACCGAGGTCCATGCTGACCGTGAGATTACCATGACTACAATCTTCCTAACAAAAACCAAAGAAGACCCAAACGATTGAGCCATGATTTAAACCGATTTTTGGAAGATAAAGAAACTGTTAAAATGCGTAAGGGTTGAACAGAGAAGAAACATCAAAGACAGCTTTGAGAAAAAGTCATGTTATGAGTTTTATCTAGAAAATGAGTATTTTTTTCGTGAAATATTTGATTAAACATTCAAACTCCAGGAAAATGGATCTTAAATTACTTAATTACTCATACAGAAATCATTGACAGTTAGAGGTGTTTTCATATAAGAGAAGAATTTCTGATTAGAAATACAAAAATTTAAAATTTCATGGTTAAAAGATGGTACTATTTCTAAATTTGTTGATAATTATAACATTTTCCTAAAATCACCCAAAAACATCTACTTATCAAAATTCAAATCATTCAGAGGTTGGATTGATTGCACACCTAGTGTTGCTTTAAATTGGTTTTCTGAGCCAAAAGACTTTAAAGATACTAAGAAATCAGAAACTAATATAGTTCACCAATTGATCATACTTGAGACTTCCACTAGCTTAGACAACGACAAAAACCAATAGATACAAGGGCAAAATATATAAAATCTTAAAAACCAGAATCTGTTCATTATAAAGCCATAGATAGCTTCATAGTACACCATAAAATATCATATCAATCAAGTCTCAATTATTCCAATTCGAACCAGCGATCTATACACCAACGAAAGTTAACTTATAGTTTTTGGGGTTTATTTGAAACATTTGGTCAGTCAAGAGATATAGATCCAAAGAGGTCTTTAGATCACTTCCACTTCTTGAACTTACCTCCTCCAAACATCCCATGCTTCCCATGTTTAAACTTGCCTCCATGATGCTTGAACTTTCCGTGCTTCCCATGCTTGAACTTACCATGACCATAACCGTAGCCATGTCCATGGCCAAATCCGTGACCATACGCAGCATGTCCGTAAGGACTGTGAGAGCTATGAGCTATGTGGTGAGCTCCATAGGCAGCTGCAGCACCCGCAATCATACCTCCGATACCTCCTGCGTGTCCTGAAGCAAGTAAAGGCAATTACACGAAAGAAGAAACCAAAAGGGGTAAACAACACTTAGCGGTCAATAGAATCTACGAAGTTGTCTTCATGATGCTCTAATCGAATGATGCTACATGAGCACACTTTCAAAGGTTTGATCTTTGGACAACTTATATAACTAATTTCAATCAAGAATAGAGCAAGTCAATGGCGTCTTAGCAATTAGAGAATACAAACTCTTGCATAACAATAACAGTTCGCTATTTCAGTCATTATATTATCAACCAATCCTCTGTTTCAACTTCTTTCTAAAGTGAAATCTACCACATTCCACATATATGATACTGAATTTGCAACATATAGACAAAAATTTCTACCTTTCAACTTCATTCCAAAGTGACATTCACCACATTTACTCGTGAACTTGACTTCTATTGAATTCTTGCATTAGCAAAAGAAAAAAAAAAAGTACCTGAGTGATGAGCAGGATAGCCAGCAGGAGGATAACCACCAGGAGCAGGAGGATAACCACCATAACCAGGAGCTGGAGGGTATCCACCAGGTGCAGGTGGGTATGCACCCGGAGGATAACCTGCGGGTGGGTAGGCACCAGGTGGTGGAGGATAACCTTGTTGTGGCGGGTATCCAGCAGGTGGATAAGCTCCAGGACCCGGTGGGTATCCAGCGGGTGGGTACCCATGAAACCCTTTGTCTTTGTCACCTCCCATGTTTTTCTCAATCACCAACAAAACCTACCCAAAAAAAAAAACCATCGATTTAGGTCAAAAGAATCAAGCTTTGATAATGTGATTAACCAAAGACACAAGATTCAAGTAAACAGCAATGTAATCTAGGTCAGAGATTAATGTTATTGATCTCAATCAAATTACATAAAGCATGCATTATGGTCAAAAGAATCAAGCTTTCATAAGGTGATTAACCAAAAACACAAGATTCAAGTAACCAGCAATTGTAATCTAGGTCAGAGAGGTCAATGTTATGAATCCCAATCAAATTGCACAAAGCAGGCATTAATCTCAAGCTTTTCATTAGGGGATCAAGCAAACGCAGCAGAGTAAAACAACGAGATAAACTAGCAAATCAATTTACAGGCAAATGCTAATCAGAGAACTCGATTTAAGATAATCACTCACAAACGGAGAAACGCGATTTTCAATCATAGGTGAAGTTCGAAGTATACAGATCAGAACAAGCGAAGGTCCGATTAATCAGAGAAACAAAACTGCGAGGAAAAATAACCAATTTAAAGGAAAAAGATGAGAGCTTTCTTACCCGAGACGAATCGCGAGAAAATGTCGAAACTGAATTGGAAGAGAAAAAAAAGAAAAGAAATTGGTGATATATATTGATGAATTTTACAAAATTTCCTTACGCGGCATGGTTTACAAAAAGGCATTAATTCATCTTTAGTCCTCGTATTTTAGTATGAATCAGAATCTTACCCTTAACTCTTCGTCAGTAATAACGGAGTCCCAATTTCGAAGAACAAAAACCGACAAACGTAACAATATAATGGTTTAGTTAGATTTTGTTTTCTACTTTTGGCTGTGTGTAAAAGTTTATTTTCAATACAAATATTGAAATATGGTTAAATTAAATGGTTTGTTCTAAAATTCGAACAATTCTGAACTACTTATTGGGAGTTTAAGAAATACAATTAAGTTATGGGGGGCGAAGTAGAGAAAGATAAGAATATCTTGTACGTATATTTAGCGTTGCGGGAACGCGTAATGGACCCGTGATTCAACTATGAACATACGTAAGTGGATAAATGCCAAAAAGGATCGAATCTACACAAATTCATAATTTTCGAAATTCTTTTGTAACAAACTAACAATAGATTTAACACATAAGTTGATTTCACGGAAAAATGGCTTATACGTGTCTTAATTATGTTTATGTGTGAGTGTGAATATGTATACACGAACTTAAGGACAATACTTATATCTAATTGTCCTTTTTTAAATTTCTCGAACTGTTAAGTCGTTACTAGTAATATTTCAAATTTAAACAAAAACAACAGAATACTTATATCTATCATTCTTTTGTTTTTTGACGATGTATTTCTCTTCAAGAAAACTGTTTAGCTATCTAAATCAACATTGTTAGTAGTTTGACTAACATTATTTAGATCAATCTAGGTATTAACCACGACTTAATAGATCGGCTATGTAAATTTAGAAAATGAGAAATTGAGGTAGGTTTAAAGTTACATGAGAGATATTTATAATCGTAATCACTTCCGACGAGGATAAAATTTGCGACATGGATTTAACAATAGCTGATAGCAAATTAATATCCGTTAATTACTAATTGCTATGTATTGAAGAGCAAATTAATCTCCAGTAATTACTAATTGCTATGAAACCACTAATCACCAACAGGATTTACTGTAAAAGTTGGAACGAACTTAGATGCAACACTTTTTTTAAGGACAATAGAGCATATTACAGACAAATATCTGGATACGTTACAAAGCTAAGAGACAACTAAGATAACAAGAGCTTCTCTTGAGTCATTGCACTCCATAGATGTGTAACCGTAACAACACAGGCAGACTCAAGAGTTAGAGAGATAGAGATGAAATTTGACGAAAAGGATGAGACTTTTGATCAGCAGAACCCAAACGTACGTTCTAATTCTCGCTCACTCTCGCAGTTGTATCCAAATTCAAAAGCTCGATCTGCGGTCAAAAGAAGACACAAAACCGTTCAATAATATGTTGGAGATTAGAGGATAAACACAAAGAGAGGAGAGAGAGAGAGAGAGAGATAGCGCCATAGAAATGTACCAAAACGGCCCTTTTCTGTTAATATTTCAGCTTCTTGTTCAGCTTCTTCCTCGTCTGAGTCTGAATCAGCTTCTATGAGCAAATTATCAGAACAAAGCCCTGAGATAGTACACACCATGTTCCCACTGTCCGGACAATATATTACTTCCTTGCAGTTTTCATCGCATACTGTAATAAGACCGTTAAAAGAGGTAAGTTTAGGCAACAGAAGCAATAATTTACAAAGTTAACAGCGTTTCATTTCATACCATGAACATGTCCCGTCTCTTGGCATATGAAAACGTCGTCAATCTGATGGTAATCACATTTTGTTCCTAAACAAACATGGTCCATTACAACCTTATTGGTAAGTCCCTTGCTTTTCTTCCACAGAGATACTTGGTCAAGTACAGTTTTGTCAAGAACTATCCGGTCATCCACCATCTAAACATTGCAAACAAGAACGTGAGAGAACACATCAAACGATGATCGTAGTGTGATAAACAACTATGAGATGCAGATGTTACCTCAGATGGAAGAGGTGCTTGGCTCCGCTTTGCTGCTTGCATTTGAATGTAATACTCTTTAAAATCCGCCGGACAGCTTCTAACAAGTTCAATCATGTCCTTCTCGTCCCGCTAAAGTTCGACAAGAGAATCAGAAACGAATCGCTTAAGGGCAATATATGAATGACCTCTAATTATTACCTTACAGTAACATTCTATACTCTTCAACACTGTAATATTACTTGGCAACAAACAAATTTAATACAAAAACAAAGAGAGGAACTTACATCGATGTAAAGCTTCTTCCAAGCGCATTCACGTAACCTTCTAGTTGTAGGCATTATACCCCAACGAATACAGTACCTGCAAATAAAATCAACCAAAAGTGTATTGCTTCATTTTGAGTACAAAGTATTGATTTTGAAAACTAGATTCTTTATCCACAAGATTACTTAATATGAGAAGAGACTTACAGGCGACGCCATAAGGATTCATCAGAGGCTGCAAAATTGAGAAATTTACACACCAAAGAGCACGACACAAGATCCTGTAATCAAATTCAAACAAATTAAATTAAAGGGAATCCTCAAAATTGTGCTATTCCAGACAATTTGATTCTGTATTAAGAGAACAATAACTTGAGATGCAAATGAGCAATACCTCAGATGACAAGAACTTGAAGATATGACGAAATATCTCTGTAGGTACTTTGCTGAAAGCTCCACTCTCTATTCTCTTTGCACCATTTCTGTCCTTGTTACCATCTTCCTTTTGATCTCCATCCTTCTCTATAACGTTTGTTTTGTCTTTCTCAAGACATTGTCGTTTAGTTTCAGGTTCTTTCGTTTCTTCTTTATCCTCTACCTACAAAACAAAGACAAGAAAACACCAAAAGCATCAGTGAAAAATTCAACCTTTCACAGGAAAACATGAACAAGAGGTAAATCACCATTCTCAATGGACATAGATCGAGAAAAATGAACCAGATGTGTCTGATTTTTAAAATTTCACATTAATAATATTCATGTAAGATCGACCAAACCCAAAATTCGATGTAATGAATTAAGAATACAGAGAAACCAAGTATGAATTAGACGAAGAAACATCAAATTACAATCCAAAAAAACACCATCGAAATCGCAAAAGAATGAAAATTCAGAGAAGCGAGATAATTGAGATAGGGTTTCAGATTCAATGATGAAATCGAAAACAATTTTGGGGGAATTAAAAACCAAACCCTGAATGAAATTGAAAAATAGAATAATGATGAAGAAAAACAAATACCGATGAGACTTCTGATTCGAGGAACCGAGCGAAGCACTCGTCTTCATCATCGGAAAGAGACATATTGTCGGATGGTGAAGATCGGAGCTCCGGCGACGACGATAGATTTTATATGGCCAAGGAAGGGATAGAGAGACGAGAGGGTAGGCGATTGGAACCGGTGGCGTGAGATTGGAGACGATTCGGGCCAAACAATTTTGAATAGTGGGCCTAGTATAGCCTAAATTAACAAATGAGCTGTATTAATAAGAACTAAGCCCAGATATAGTCCGAAGCTATCTCAATGTCATTATAATCAATAGTCGATGCTATCTCAACGTCATTAATAAGCTATCTCAATGTCATTATAATCAATAGTCGATGCTATCTCAACGTCATTAATAATCAAATAATATAGTCCAAACTCCAAAGCTATCTATCTCAACGTCATTAATAATCAATAATCAATAATCAATTCCACGAAAGTAAATCAAAATTAGTTTCCTACAAATCTTTATTACGGTGTTATTTAGAGTTGGATTTTTAAATTTTCATAGAGTTTTGTGTATTTAAACAATCTACAATATCACAAATTTTTGAGAATCTGGGATATATCTAGTTTGAAAATCTTAAATTGTTGAGAACCCATATCTCAATAACACTTTTTGATTAATAAAAAATTTTGATTAAATTTTAAAAATACCAAACCAATAACAATGAATTTATTAAAAAAATATCATAATCCATAAACAAATAACAGTGAAATTTTTGAAATTGTAAAACTACATACAAAAATAACCACAAAATATTAAACTCTCATTTTCTTTAGGAATCAACAAACCAAGACCCCCAATTATTAAAATGATAGTTTTTAACAAGAGACATTTCCAAACTTTGATGACCTTTGCGCTACAAATTTCATGTTTTTATTATAGCATTTTCTTTCTATTTGCAACATGCATTAATGGGGATTTGCATCCGATTAGTTATGTTATAATACTAGGTATTAACACACATCACTAAACTAAATATCATAGATTTATAATCATGCGTGTTGTTATAGTTTTTCTCTCTTTAAAAACACAACATTTGATATTTGGATAAACAGGTTTTTTCAGGAGTTTTATATTTATATATTCGTTTTCATTTATAGAGATATTTCTTAAGTGATTAAAGTACTTTAAGGAAAGATCAATATTGTCAGATTTGAGGAAACATTTTAGTTTTCTGCATAAAGACATACAAATGCGATGATCTAATATGTTTTAATTTACTTTTGGTAATTAAGAAGATAATCTAGCTAAAAATGTCTGTATAAAAACATATTGATTTCTCTATTTGTCTTTAACCAATTTAGGAAAGCATTGTTCTTCGAATTTATTTTAATTTTTAAAGACCAGATATAAGAACAATCTATCGACTACGAGAAATGCAAAAGTCCAAAATTTGGAATTACAGGCAAAGCAAGGACCTCAATTTCCTAATCTGCAGTTGTTTGTTATCTTCTTTGATTTGGATGAAGAGATAGAGACATATGGCAGCTCCGGTGATGATAAACGGCGGCGATGCGACGGAGAGGGAAGCTCGAATGGCACACTCTGCAATGACCTTCGTTCAGCTCATTTATGGCGCTTACCATGTGATTACGAAAGTAGCTCTTAACGTTGGTATCAATCAGCTCGTCTTCTGTGTCTTCCGTGATCTTCTTGCCCTCTCGATTCTCGCACCTCTCGCTTATTTCCGCGAAAGGTCTCACCTTTAAAATTCTTTCTCCTTCCTTCTCATGTTTTGGTTATATTGTTTGAATCGCTAACACATATGAAGTTTCTGGTTTCTAAAATGACCTCTTTTTGTGTTGGTCAACGCAATTTCTTGATTGATTTTGTGGGTTTTATCTGGTTTACTCCATTTTTACTAGATTTGACTTGGATCCAAGGTCTTGAGTTTCTGAGAAAAAATGTTCTTTTTGGTTCAAGTTTCCTTATTGGTTTTTATTCTCATACTGTTTTATCTTTACTCTCTCAGTCTTAATGTTGCTCTTGAAACTGCAAAATTTGCTGAATGATTGTAATTTGTAAATGTCAGAGTCTGTTTTAAGACACAGTCAATAACCATGGTTGTTCTTTTAAATCTTGTAGAGGGATCAGGCCTCCTATGAATAAAAGCATCTTCTTTTCACTCATATTTCTCGGTTTAGCAGGGTAAGTAACCAGCATTTGAGTAGCCAAGATCTCATTAAACTTTACAAAAATCATGTTTATGAAGACTCTTATGATTTATGAGTATTCTAAATAACATTCACTCTCAATCTTGTGATAGGATATTTGGGAACCAATTACTATTTCTTATGGGTTTATCATACACGAATCCAACTTATGCCGCTGCTATACAACCATCCATCCCAGTCTTTACCTTTCTATTAGCTCTGATGATGGGGTGAGTATGATTCTCCTCAACATTACCGTAATATGTATATATGTTTTATATATTCAATCTTTTTGAGGGTCTCCTGCGTTTGAATGCAGTACAGAGAAAGTGAGCTTGTTTAAAATCGAGGGCCTTACTAAAGTTGGAGGTACCCTAGTTTGTGTATCGGGTGCAGTAGTGATGGCTTTGTTCCGTGGTCCAGCCTTGTTTGGAGATAAAAATGCAGACTTTACAGAAAATACTGTAACCATTGATAGAAGTCAACCTGAGCTTCATGGTTGGTTAGTCACTAGTTTTCTTGGTCTTGGGCTAGATCTATGGCACATTGGAGTTGTATGCTTGATTGGAAACTGCATGTGTATGGCTGCTTTTCTCGCTGTCCAAGCACCGGTTCTGAAGAAGTATCCTGCGCACCTCTCGGTTACTGCGTATTCATACTTCTTCGGTGCATCAATAATGATCACAACTGCTCTCGTGTTTGTTAAAGAGCCTAAAGATTGGAGCTTGACACAATCCGAGGTTCTTGCTGTTATATTCGCGGTAAGCTTTTCACAAACCAATGTAACATGATTATTTGGCTGTGTTTGACGCAAAAGATTGGAGCTTTCTTCATCGGTTTTTTTGCTTCTCAGGGAGTGTTTGCATCAGCTCTAAACTATGGACTCTTGACTTGGTCTAATAAAATTCTTGGAGCTGCTTTGGTTTCTCTCTACAACCCTCTACAGCCTGCAGCATCCGCCTTTTTATCGACGATTTTCCTCGGCAGTCCAATCTATCTCGGAAGGTTATTATAATTTTAGACTCTGGCTTGCATCTTTGATTCATCCTTACACACATAGCCTCTTTCTCTGTTCTTCTTCTTTGATTGAATCTTTTAAAATGGATTTTCTTTCTCTGCGCAGCGTTGTGGGAGGAATTCTTATCATTTCCGGGCTTTATATGGTTACTTGGGCGTCTTATAAAGAACAACAAACAACAGTTTCAGGAAATGCGATTGCTTCTTCTGGTGATGTAAGAATCGTAGAACCTTTGATTTACAGAGATGAGACTGATAATAAAATCAGGTGAAAGACAGTCATTTTTGCTTTCAGACAAGATGTATATTAGACAGTTTTTTTTACCAGTTAAGCTTTATTCGTTGCTTTACTTTTGAATTCATCTGCAGCAGCAAATTAGCAATAGACTTGATAGAAGAGTTTTGATCAGAATTAGCCAAACTGAGAAAAGACTATGGGTTTGTCAAAGTAACAACTCGATGATTGTGGCTGATATTGCAAATTGTATAATATTGGAAATAGAAACTTTATTTTGAGAAAAGAAGAAGAAGACAAAGTGTGTAATCTGCGGTTTTAGCCAATTAAAAGTTCTTAATTTAACCAAATATACCCAATTAAAAACTTAAGATCACCTCTTATTACAGAAAGTATAAAGCTTTCGTGTGTTATGTGAATTATTAAAATGTTGAAATGATAGAATAACGAGGAAACCATCCCTTGTACAGTCATTGTATTTCAGGATCCATACCATAAGTCTTCCCAAGAAGATTGGACTTAGTTTCCACAAGCACTCAGTTTTGGCATACCACTTTTTTTTTATAAGTTTGAATAAATAATTATTGTATACCAAAGAATTAACATTTATTTAGTAACTTTGAATTTCTAAAGTTCTGATCATATTTACTGTAAATGTTTTGCCTCTTTTTTTATTTTTTCCCAAATTTTCTTTGAATTTTCGTTGAACATTTCCTTCGTATATTTTTTCAATAAATATAAAATTTATAAGTTTCTTATGAGTACTTAGATCACTGATGACATCACTGTTCTATAGTGAAAACCATTAAATAGCAAATAAACAAAAATCAATGACTTATTAGAGTACGAAATAATTGACTTTCTCCCATTTCATCATCAATAATGTTACTGATTTAAAGTATTTTAGTTTCTGACAATTTGTGTGGATAGCAGCTTACAGCCTTACATCTATCGGGAATGGTTAATCTACAAAAAAGAAATAAAGATTCAATTGTTTTTCCTTAGTTTTATAAGATTCCTTTTTAATCATGTCAAGATTCTTCCTAACTATAGATTCTTTCTAAAAACGATTTAATATATACTAGTGCTACTACCTCTAAGAATCTTTCAACTATCACTCCCTACAAATTCAGGAGATACATACTCACTTTTCCATTAACAACGTAAAGTAAGAAGAAATAAGAAATGGCCACGTGTCCTCCTTTCGACTACTCGGCGAAATATTACGACGGTGAAGGAAGCGTATGCGAGAGGCGGAGCAGCTTCTTCGGAGATACGACGGTGCTCGATCAAGGGGTTGGCTACGCCATTATTATCGGTTTTGGTGCTTTCTTTGCCGTCTTCACATCTTTTCTGGTTAGTTTTCCGGTTCGAATAACCAAAACATTATTATGAAAAACAAAAAAATTATATTTCTTCTCTGATTTTCTCGTGATCACAAAAAAGTATGCCTTTATATTATTTTGGTTCAGAAAATAAAACAAACGATTGTACTTTTCAAAGTTTCACATACTCCCAAGCGTAGATGTTAATAAGGATTTTTCATTTTTTGTTTGTTTGTTTTGCATCTAAGTTTTTAAGATATCAAATTTTGATAGGAGGAATTTTTTGGTCCCTCGCATATGAAAATGGTGGCGGCCGTACATAGTTTAAACAAAAAATCAATTTCTATTCAGAATCTTCTCAAAGTTACTATTTAAAATATTAAGGAGCGGTATTATACTCAAAGTTTTCGAAAACTCCAGTTGCACATGCTAATATTTAGTAGAGATCATATTCGAACAAAAATTAGTTATACAGAAATTTACAGAGCAAAAAAATACTAAATTTGATACCTATCCGAAATAAAACCGAGCATAAGTACTATAACACGATTTGTTAATCCTGTTGAGTGCAACAGCTAATACATATATACAATAAAACTTTGGTTATAATTAATTTCTAAGACCGCTCTGGTATAATGAATGAAGGTTTGGTTAGAAAAACGATATGTGGGTGCTCGACATACCTCGGAATGGTTCAATACAGCCGGAAGAAACGTTAAGACAGGACTCATTGCAAGTGTCATTGTGTCACAGGTAAAAATTATGATTTTTCTATTAAGTTTTCAACTGTAAATTAATTTGCATGGTTACCATATATTGATTTATATTTGTTGGTCGATGGTTGGGAAGTGGACATGGGCTGCAACTTTACTCCAAAGTTCCAACGTCGCATGGCAGTATGGTGTTAGTGGACCGTTTTGGTACGCTAGTGGAGCCACCATACAGGTTATAGTTTCTTCTATATTGCGTAGTGATTTTAGTGTGTGTGTGTTTTTTTTTTTTTTTTTTTTTTTTTGACTAGTGAATAATCGATGATGAACAAAATAGGTACTCTTGTTTGGGGTGATGGCTATTGAGATAAAAAGAAAAGCTCCTAATGCTCACACTGTCTGCGAAATCGTGAAGGCTCGGTACATAAATTCTCAATTATTTGGTTTATTTCATTGATAGAGCAAACCGAATTATCTAGATAGAAGAGAGCCAAAACTATTTTAACAATTTTAGAAATGTTCAAAAAGAACAAACTATATCGAAATCAAACTTGGGGTTATTGAGAGTTGGATTTATAAAGACTTTGATTGATTTTAAAAGTTATGAGATTAGTCAAATCTTTAAGAGTTTTGTTGGATCTGTAAAATTTGCAAAGAATTTTGTGTATTTAAATAATTCAAAAAAATATTTTTATTATGATAGATTTGAAAATTTAAAAGATATAATAGTATTTTGAAAATATTGATTTATGAGTTAAATTGTAAAGAATTTTTATCCAATAACACTAGATTTTAAGAAAACTATAGAATCATTAAAATACAATTTTTTGAATAACAATAAATTTTGATTAGATTATTAAAATTATCAAACCAATAATGAATTTTTAAAGAATGTTATAATCAGTTTACGAATAACAATGAAATCTATTAAGAATATAAAAATCCATAAATCAATAACCATAAAATCTTAAATTCTAAAACTCTTCATAAATCAACTTCCCAATAACAGTCAACCCAATTTTTTGTTTTCTTATTAACATTGGAAAATATTTTTACTCGATCGTTTCAGTTAAGCTTAAGAAATTAAAACCATATATTTGTTGTTTTAATTCGATAACATTTCTGGACCGAATAGACCAAATAAACCTGAAAACTGATATGCTTTGTATGACATATGTAAGTTGGAGTTTAAATTGGGTCGGACCAAAGATTAAGCATCGTTTATTACTAAATTAGAACTATATATTCGAGCATATACGTTTGAGGTTAATATGTTTTGTATGTTTTTATGTAAATTAGTTGGGGAACCGCAACACACATAGTGTTCTTGGTGTTTTGTCTGGTGACAAACATCTTAGTGACGGCGATGCTCTTGGTCGGCGGCTCAGCCGTGGTGAATGCTCTCACCGGAGTGAACATATATGCCGCCAGCTTTCTCATCCCCCTCGGCATTGTTATCTATACTTTGGCCGGAGGACTTAAAGCTACTTTCCTCGCAAGCTACGTTAATTCCGTCATCGGTAAATAAAAAACGTACCTTTGAAATAATATTTCTTCGAGTAAAATGGTTTGGATTTTTTTTTTTCTCGAAACTACCATTCATTAACATACAAATACTCCTAGAGGTGTGAAACATAGATAAACTGAATTAATAGATCTAACATGCCGGAAAAAACTAAACGAAAAAAAAGCAAAATGAGTTTATGTTAAGAATTTGATTTTACTGATTTTAAAATTATCAATGTGGATGATATACTAGTGATAAAAATATTTGTTAATTAAATTTTGTTAGTTTGTTCTTTTGAAATACTAATTGTGTTAAGTTTTCTAAACATGTTACTTTTGGGTATGTATATCCTAAAGCAAAATCGGAGGGATCCTTATAATTAATTTTTGTTTGCTTCATTTATTTTTTCAGTTCACGTGGTTCTAGTCGTCTTTGTGTTTCTGGTCTACACTTCGAGCAGTGAGCTTGGGAGTCCGTCTGTGGTCTATGACCGGCTAAAAGAGATGGCTGCTAAGTCAAGGATATGCACTGAGCCGCTCTCGCACCCTGACCAAGCTTGTGGTCCGATTGATGGCAACTACAGAGGCTCTTATCTCACCATGTTAAGCTCTGGTGGTGCTGTCTTCGGTCTCATCAACATTGTCGGAAACTTCGGCACTGTCTTCGTTGACAATGTAAGATCTATTTTCAGTGAACTACTTGTCTTAATATTGACTAGTTCAACGTTTTATGATAAGCTTGCGCAAGATTCAAAAATTTAACACCATTGATATATATTTTTTTTCATATTAGAACTGTTATTTTTATAATTTTCATTAATCTTGTAGATTGATGAAGAAAAATCATGATTTTGAAGAATTATATGACTGATTACCCATAATTAATCAAGTAATTATTTTGTCATGACGAGCAAAAACTGTTTAATTATTATAAGTTTTCTGTTATTGATGATTGAGGAGTTTCTTATATATATATATATTTTTTTTGTATAGAGTTATTGGGTGAGTGCAATAGCTGCTCGACCATCATCTACGCACAAGGGATATTTGCTTGGTGGACTCGTGTGGTTCGCTGTGCCTTTCTCTCTAGCTACCTCGTTAGGCCTCGGTGCACTAGCCCTTGACTTGCCTATAACTGCGGATGAGGCTAACCGAGGTCTAGTCCCACCTGCTACTGCCATTGCTCTCATGGGTAAATCAGGATCTTTGCTTCTCCTCACTATGCTTTTCATGTAAGTACACTCTCTCTAGATCATATATCAAACAAGTTTTAGCATAAACAAAATTTATAGGTGGATATATAATGGATGTTTGGTTTCTCTATTAGATTCATTTAGTTTTTTCACATTATCTTTCTACTGATAATTGTTCTAAATTAGAGAAAACAATATCATACGATCAAGTTTTAATTAAATTTCGGTCTTATAGAGTCATAGTGATTTTGTTCAGTAATGTGATTTTGGTAAAAAATTAGAAAAATAATAAAATTTCTAGGCTCGGTTCGTTCGGTTCAATAACAAACTCAATTTGGTTTGTTTGTGTCTATATGTTTTCTTGCTTTACACGCCAGAAATTGTTAAGATGTCTTAGTTTCTTCTTACGCAAGAAACCTATCTCACTTAAGAATACTTATCTGATTTATCATTATGGTCAAAATTTGTTTATCCACAGGGCCGTAACATCGTCTGGTTCTTCCGAATTAATTGCGGTCTCATCCCTTCTCACCTACGACATCTACCGAACATACATAAACCCTAGAGCAACGGGCAAACAGATCCTGAGAATCTCAAAATCCTCAGTTTTCGGATTCGGATGTTTCATGGGGATTCTTGCAGTGATACTGAACAAAGCCGGGGTTTCACTCGGATGGATGTATCTCGCGATGGGAGTCCTCATTGGCTCTGCTGTTATTCCCATCGCCTTCATGCTCTTGTGGAGTAAAGCGAATGCTTTTGGTGCGATTCTTGGGTCGATCTCTGGTTGTCTTCTTGGGATTGTTACTTGGTTATCAACCGCAAAGATACAGTATGGACGTGTTGATCTTCATACCACTGGGAAAAACGCTCCTATGTTAGCTGGCAACCTCGTCGCCATACTAACAGGTCAGGATTCTATTAGTTTCTTTTTATACCAAGTGAAGATATATGATAAAAGTTTGGTTTAGTATGTCCCTTACGTGTAAATGAATTAATATGTAGGAGGGTTGATCCATGCGGTGTGTAGTCTAGTCCAGCCACAGAATTACGATTGGTCGACGACGAGGGAAATCAAAGTGGTTGAAGCTGAAGGGACTAATATTGATGTTCCTGTGGAGGAGCTAAGAGAAGAGAAACTGAGAAGAGCCAAAGCTTGGATTGTTAAATGGGGTCTTGTCTTCACTCTACTCATTGTTGTTATCTGGCCAGTTCTCTCTCTCCCAGCACGTAAGTCTTGTCTTCCCATATAAACCAAAACTAATTTTTTTTATTTTTTATTAAAACTTAAGGTTATATTAATTGCAAATTTTGATACCAAAGATTAATCATGGTTCATTGACGGATGTCGAGTGCTGAATGTGGGGAATAACTGCACTAGATTAGGTCATTGCATCTATAGATATCCTATATTAGCTTCTCTTTTAGCAATTAGACAAAATACAAGAAATTGGATATTTTATAACCGTTTGATCATAATTATATATATATATACAGATATAGATATTATTCAATCGCTTTTTAGATATATTCTAGATGTTATCCAAAATAAAAAGTAATGTATTATTCATAACCATGTTGCAGGTGTGTTTAGCAGAGGATATTTCTGGTTCTGGGCAATTGTGGCTGTAGCTTGGGGAACAATAGGATCGGCTGTGATAATTGGTTTGCCTTTGATCGAAAGCTGGGACACTATCAAGAGTGTTTGTATGGGAATGTTCACTAATGATAGGTTAATGAACAAGCTTGAAGACTTGAACCATAGGCTTCGAGCTTTAACCATGGCCGTACCAGAAGCTGAGAGGCTTTATTTGTTTGAACTCGAGAAGACGAAGAAAACCGATGAAGAAATTTGAAGAACGATCAAAATGGGTAAACCAAAAGATTGTTATTTTTCTTTTCTTCTTCTTTTGTGTATATGCAATTTCTTGCTCATCTATCTTGTTTGTGTGAATGTGTGTTATGTGTGTATACCAAATAGACAGTGAAAGACAGTTGGTACGATTTGACTAAATTGGAGTATCCAAACTTACACTGACCAAATTTTTCACTATTAAAAATAATTGGTAAATTGAGGAATGATAGAATTGCGTTTTTAAATGCGATTTCTATAGATTTTTTGTTAATCAATAAAAACCTGCAGAATGAAAAAATAACTACAAAAATGCAAAGCTTAAAAAAATACAAAGATAAAACCATTAAAAAAAATAAATTTTAAGAAAATTATTTCATTCCGCAAGAATCATTCTACTATTCCGTATCTTTCCAAGCCCACTATTCTGCTACTTTGTAAAAGAGGCATACAAAATGGGCCAAAGCCCACTATTCTGCTACTTTCACATCAACGACCATAATAACTTGACCCGGAAATATAACCGGGTCATTTCATTTTCACTTTAGTCGCGTGTATCTTTCTTCTTCCCGATTTTTTTTCTATCAATCCACTTTCCCCTCAATTTCTCTCTCAAACTCGTCTTCTTCTTCGCTTCAGCCATGGGAACCCTATCTCTCTCATCTTCTCTCAAACCTTCCCTCGTTAGCTCCAGACTCAGTTCATCTTCTTCTGCGTCTTCTTCCTCTTTTCCGAAACCGAACAATCTCTACCTCAAACCCACCAAACTGGTTTCAGCACCACTCAGAACTTCGCCGTCGCCACCAAGATTCGCCAATGCTTCAATCGAGATGTCGCAGACACAGGAGGCAGCTATTCGCGGCGCGGAATCCGACGTCATGGGTCTTCTCCTTAGGGAGCGAATCGTCTTCCTCGGTAGCCAAATTGACGATTTCGTCGCCGACGCCATTATGAGCCAGTTGCTGCTTCTAGATGCTAAAGATCCTAAGAAAGATATCAAACTCTTTATCAATTCTCCTGGTGGTTCCCTCAGGTTAAATCTTGATTTCACTTCTCTTTTCTCATCTTAGTTTCTGCGTTAATGGCAAAGTTTCATTCATTTGCTGCTTATTTTGGGATAAGACTAGAATCGTTCTAAGCTGAGTTCTCGAAAATTAGGTCAGATTTTTGGATTTGAAAAGTAATTGAATTATGTGTAATTGCAGTTGAAGTGTCTCCACAGCTAATTTGCTAAGAGCAATCTGATAAATTTGTTATGTGAATGCTAACTTTCAGCTCAGTTGAAGTGTCCCCTTAGCTAATCTGCTATGAGAAAGTTCAAGTGTAATTCACTAATTTTCCTCCTTATCTGACATTCCAGTGATTACTTAATCTAGTCTTATGTTGATAAATTGAAGTGTCTCCTCAACTAATATGCTAATGTTACTTATGGTCTAGTATAAGTGCCTATCCCTCTTCTGAGTATCAGTAATCTTGTTGTCCTGGGTATATAATGTTTGAATGTGTTAACCCCTGCTTCAAATGATCTAACTTATGCTCTCTTTTTTAATCTGTTAGTGCAACCATGGCTATATACGATGTGGTTCAGCTTGTGAGAGCTGATGTTTCGACGATTGCTCTTGGCATTGCCGCATCAACAGCTTCGATAATACTAGGTGCGGGAACTAAAGGCAAACGCTTTGCTATGCCCAACACAAGGATAATGATTCATCAGCCTCTTGGAGGTGCGAGTGGTCAAGCTATAGATGTTGAGATCCAAGCTAAAGAAGTCATGCACAACAAGAACAATGTCACGAGTATCATCGCTGGATGTACTAGCAGGTCGTTTGAGCAGGTCCTGAAAGATATTGACAGAGACCGGTACATGTCTCCAATTGAAGCGGTTGAGTATGGTTTAATTGATGGAGTTATTGATGGAGACAGCATTATTCCTCTGGAGCCTGTTCCTGATAGAGTGAAATCGAGAGTAAACTATGAGGAGATCAGCAAGGATCCGATGAAATTTTTGACTCCTGAGATACCTGATGATGAGATTTACTAAGAGACAAGCCCGTCTAGAACCAGGTGATTGATCATATGAGACTATAGCTACATTCTTGTTCATGTTTAGCCAGTGATTCTTCAACTTTTGCTATTTAGTGGTAAAATAACATGGCGAAAACTGGATAATAATGCATGAATCTTCTTGTATCTCCAGGTATCTTTCAATGTGACTGAGACTGGTAAGGTTAGAGGAAAAAGCTCGATAACATCTGCGGTCATTGGTGAGTGACTTTGCAAAAAATCGAAGTTGACATTGCTTGCCTTTGTATCTCATATTTTGCTTATTCAGAAAGATATTTGTTCTCATATGAGTATAATGACTAAAAGAAACTGTAGTTGATTTCATTTGTATGTCAATCTCTCTTCAAGTGTTCTATGGATTCATGAAGTATCACTCCACTTACTAGTTTCTTCTTCCAAGGATTCAAAGTTTGATCTATTAGTTTATGAGAACCTACACTATTTCCAGATCCATATAAAGATCACAAACATTGGATTTTTTCTTAAAAATATTTGGAGAACTCAAAGCATATGTAATTTTCAAACCTTGTTTTCTAAACTTAGTTAACCAATCCAGCGTTTACATATGAACATATGAATGATAAATCTGGCTGATTATGGTTAAGGTCTGCAAGACTAATCAGCCTCCATGAAAGCGATTCCCTTATTTCTCAGATTTGGGCTCTAATTGGGCCTGGACTAAGACCTTCTTGTCATTTTGAGCTAAAAAAAACTGTTGACTTCTTTTTTAATTTCGGATGAGGTTAATCGTGGCCCACTAAGTATTCCACATCAGCATTTCCTTTGAAGCTTCCTCTATAAGCTGAAATAATTCTTGGGGTTTATACGTAATTCTTATAAGCTGAAGCCCCAATATGTTAATAGTCCAAAACTCACGGAACGCTCTACTTTCCCTCTCAAAATTCCCCCGATAGCTTTCACCTTTTACCACTTAGGGTTCATTAAAACCCCTAATTCAATTATCCTCTCTGGGTTTCTGTAAATTTCAAATCGATCGCATCGAAATCGAAATCCTCTTTCGTTTTCTATTTCAGATTCCGAAAACCTTCTTCGATTTACGGGATTAGCCGATTAAGATTCACCAATATTCCTCCTCGAATCGATGGCGGCGAATTTGACGGCGGGAGCGGTTGCGAAGATGTTGAACGGAGCAGTGTCGAGCGAGGCAGAAATGGTGCCGATTCTGCAGGTGACGGACTTGAAGCTGATTCAGAGCAAGCTTAAACAATCACGGCAAAACCAGGACTTGAGTCAGGAGAGATATAAGCTCTCGTTATCCGATGGTTACAAAACGCAAGAAGGAATGCTTAATACTAACATGAACACCCTCGTGAATCAAGGGACTATTCAAGTTGGGTCGATTTTGAGACTCACACGTTTCGTCTGCAACCTCATTCAGCATCGAAGGTAAAATCCTCATTTTTGTTGCTTTCTCGATTTGAATAATGGGAGATTCTGGTTTAGCAAGTAATGTGTAAATCTCATGGTGATTGTGATGGCAGGATTGTTATGGTTTTGGAACTAGACATTATTGCGGAGAAATGCCATATAATCGGAAATCCTGCACAAACGTTGACGCCTATTGCACAACCCGTTGGTAATCCTGAGCAGCAACAAGCTAGAAGGAGTGAATTGAATGGTGTTCGTCAAGTTAACGATTCTTCAGCAGCGAGATTTGGTGTAGCCAATCCACCTCAACCTCATGTTCCTGAAACATCACTTTCCACTCTACCATATGTGAGCTCAACTTCAGGTTATGGAAGCTCTAGGCAGGAGCAAATCAGGCCTCCTCAAGCAGCTTCTTCTCGTCCAGTTCAGCCGAGTTATAAGCCTCAACAACAGCCTCAACAACCATCGATGTATGTTAACAGGGGACCAGTGGCTAGAAACGAAGCTCCTGCGAGGATAATACCAATCTCTGCTCTTAACCCTTACCAGGGTCGGTGGACCATCAAGGTCAGGGTCACGAGTAAGGGAGAACTTAGGCGTTTTAATGGTCCTCGTGGGGATGGGAAGGTGTTCAGTTTCGATCTAGTTGATGCTGATGGTGGAGAAATTCGGGTGACTTGTTTCAATGATGTGGTTGATCAGTTCTTTGACGTGATTGTAGTTGGTAATGTTTATCTGATCTCAAAGGGGAGTTTGAAACCTGCTCGGAAGGAGTATAATCATCTTCCCAATGATTACGAAATACATTTAGACAATGCGTCAACGATACAGCAGTGCCACGAGGATGATGCTGCCATTCCACGCAATCAGTTCCATTTCCGTAACATAAGTGATATTGAGAACATGGAGAACAATGGTATCACTGATCTAATTGGTATTGTGTCGTCCATCAGTCCAACGGGGTCGATTATGCGGAAGAATGGAACTGAGGCACAGAAGAGGGCACTTCAGTTGAAAGATATGTCTGGTCGAAGTGTTGAGGTAACCATGTGGGGTAATTTCTGCAACGCAGAAGGACAGAAGCTGCAGAATCTTTGTGATTCTGGGGTGTTCCCGGTTCTTGCTGTCAAGGCGGGTAGGATCAGTGAGTTTAATGGGAAGCAAGTGAGCACCATTGGATCAAGTCAGTTATTCATAGAGCCAGATCTCCCTGAAGCCAGAGAATTGAGGGAATGGTATGAGCGAGAAGGACGGAATGCTCCTTGTACCTCAATATCTAGAGAGTTTTCCGGCTCTGGCAGAGAAGAGGTTCGCAAGGTGATCACTCAGATCAAGGACGAGAAGCTAGGGACTTCAGAGAAGCCGGACTGGATCACAGTGAGTGGCACCATTTCATTCATGAAGGTTGACAATTTCTGCTACACAGCTTGTCCTATCATGAATGGAGATCGTCCATGCAGCAAAAAAGTGACCAATAACGGAGATGGGACTTGGCGGTGCGAGAGGTGTGACCGATGTGTGGATGAATGTGACTACAGGTATATACTGCAGCTCCAGTTACAGGACCATACAGGAATAACCTGGGCCACAGCGTTTCAGGAAGCTGGTGAGGAGATAATGGGAATGCCTGCGAAAGATTTGTATTATATGAAGTATGAAGATCGGGATGAGGACAAATTCGAAGACATCATCCGCAAGGCTGCGTTCACCAAGTACATCTTCAAGCTGAAGATTAAAGAAGAAACTTATAGCGACGAACAACGTGTTAAAGCAACAGTTGTTAAAGCGGAAAAGGTGAACTATTCTTCAGATACCAGGTTCCTGTTGGATGCAATAAATAAACTCAGAACAGAAGATGCAAATCCTCTCCCTATAAACCAGGTGACTTCCAGTCACGGGTCTGGTGCATTCAACTCCGGCATTGGAACCTCAGGGACCAGAGAGACGTCATCAGTGGACGTACCACGCAGAGAAATTAGATTACCTGCAGCAAACCAAGTGAGTCAGTTTGGCAATGAACACACTAGCGGTTCAAGACCACTTGGCGGTATTACTTACTGTAACGCATGTGGTGGCAATGGTCATGCTGCTGACAACTGCCCAAGCTTTATGAGTGAGCCGCAAGGACAACACACGAGTAGTGCTTACAGAAGCACACCGGGAGGATACGCAGCAGGAGGCATGCCAAGGCAACATGTTCGCAGCTAGTGAACGACTTATGTAACTATTTCATTTTATCATCATTATCATCATCATCATTATCATCATCATCATTATCATCATCATTATCATCATCTTTCTAGATTTGCATACTGAGGTCAGAGGCTGTTTTGACCGTTTGAAGTTTCCTTCTACATATTTCAGTAGCCTTTTTTTTGTGGATCTTTAGTTTCTTTTTTCTTGGCTTTTTCATTGGACACTGAAGATGTTGGTACTTCGCATCAGTCTCTTTATTGTTAGATAAAGTAAAGTTCTGTGATCAAATAAAGCCAAATTACTTTATTTTGCGCTTGTAAGAGAGGTTACTGGGGAATTATTCACCTTTTATTTCGACAAATTTAAAGGGATAAAACGACACCATTGTACTGGTTTACACAATTCACTGAATTACAAAACCTTCCCACACATAACACATCCAATCCTCACATAGTAACATGTTGGTTTTTAATAAGGAACATATATCAATAACAGAGTCCAGTTGGTTTAGCAGATTCTCCAACATTCACATTGTAATAAACCTCCTTGACTCCTTCCCCTGCACCACAATGTCCTTTAGCAAAGCCTGAATCACTAGAGCTGCTCTGGTTGTATCCAGAACCAGCAGTAACAGTAGATGTTTCAGCAACTGTTCCCTCAGCTACCGATTTGAGACGGTAACGTTCAGCTCTCGACCCAATCACCTGTCCCAAGATCGAAGCTCCAATGGTCAAAGCCATGGCTGTTTTAGGCATCAGCACAGACTTCCTAAGCATTGCTATAAAAGGCACAGCAGCATGAACCGCCACAAACCATGAAGGCGAGAACTTTTTGGTGTGTTCTCTCCAAACTCCGAGAGGCACGTTCGCAGCCATCCCCATGAGAGCGATCGCGAGCATCTTTTCAGGTAAAGGCTGAGGTCGAAGGCTTTTAACCAAAGCGGTCTTGGAAAGTGCAGCTCTTGCAGCTACTATTGGAGCTGGACATCTAAATTTCATACCAGATGGTGGCTGTAATGCTTTAGCCACAAGGGGCATGACTTTGCTTGCAGCTCTGTAGGATTTGGCGATGGGACAGTTCCCGGTTTTTAACCATTCGTCTCCAACTGCTTCGTGTTTCGATGAGTCCCCAGACTGCAAAAAGCAAAGCAAGCATGCAAAAACCGAATAAGTTCTTGATCCCATAGTAAAGTCTTTGGAGACTACTAATAAAGCCATTTTTCTACCTGTTGTTTCGGTTTCTTCTGTTGTTTCTTCCATTTCTCTGAGAAGGGACCAAAGCCAAAAGGTCCATTAGGACCAAAAGCTGATAGGCTTATGGTAGCGACCTTTCCTGCAAGAGGATTGAATTGCGGAGTGGCACGAGGAGTCTCGTCTTCGACATCATCTCTGAAACTTGAATGTCCAGAGAGCGGCACAAGTCCATCTTTTCCATGGAAGAGGTTGAATGCTGAATCAAATCCAGGACCATCCTCAAAGATTGGACCTTTAGTACCTCTTTGCACCTGATTAAAAAAAAAAAAAAAAAAAAAAATCAAGCCCAAGAGAAGATAAAGTTTATCCACCATTGAATCAAACAGATCACATATGATTTCAGGTTTGAGGTAAGGAAATATTACAGGAACTGGAAAACTCAAGGAGGAGAGGGAAAAATTGGTAGGCTTGTTGATGTTTCTCAGGAAAGGGCATTTTTGGATGATGCTTTCGGCAACGAAGGGACACTGAGATGATTCTTGATCCATTGATTTCCTTTTCGCTGAGAAAAATAGCCTGGGAAAATTGATATTCAAATGAGCAAAGTGATGATCAACGAACAAAATCTAAAATTGATTTCATGAAGAAACAAACAACCCAGGATGCGAAGAACAGAATTCTAAATACTCAAAACTTTAATATACACTCTGAAAATAAAATCATCCCAAAATTAAACCAACTGTGTATCGAATTCACCATGAAACTTAATTTCCAATTGAAAATCGGAAATCATTCAAAAATTTCCAATGAGAGATTCGGCAGAAATTTAAAAAACTGATTACGAAACCTAAGATCTGCTTCAGATGGAGGCAAACAAATTCAAAAATTCGATCGATTTTAAAATATGAAATCGAAGTCGAAAATCACCTGAGGATTTTTGATTGTTCTCGCCGGAAATAATTTTGCAGACCAGCTTTAGATTTTGATTAAACGTGTGGCGAACACAGACGTATATAGGTGATTCTCGATTTCGATCAAGTGTAACCGGTTGAGTCAGTAAACCGAAAAACTGATCTTTTTAAATCCACCGGTAATCGCCGGTTGATAATTTAGATTGGTTGACTTTGTATGCACCACGTGGTTGTGTTCGGTGAGAACCGTGACTATTTGGGACTAGAGATGGATCTCATGCCGTTTATCGTTATGATAATCTGATCCAACGGTAGAGATTTAGTGGAGTAGCTTTGAGAAGTTGTCGTAGAGTGGTAGTGAATGACATTTATAACTTTTTACCAACTATGGGTATGGGCTACTAAATTGTAGATTTTATTTATTATTAGGTGAATACCCGCGTTACGTAGGAGTTTTTCTTTTTAAAATTTTTAAACTTTATTTTTATATTTTTATAAAAATTAATATAATCATCACTTGTTACTTACTTACTTATTAATATTTTATTCTAAAAAATTATAAAATATTAATATATATTAAATATTATTTAATAATTTAAAGTTATATTAAGATTAATAAATATCATTCAATATTTTTAATTAGTTATAACATAAATTTTTGTTTAATATTTATAGAAATATTAATTATTAGTCAATTAATTAAAAAAATAAAATTAATATAATCATCATTTCATTTGTTACTTGTCAGTATTTTATTATAAAGAATTTTAAAAAATTAATTTAAAATACATCTTGAATATTATTAAGTAATCTAAATATTATTAAGTAATCTACAATTATATAAAAATTAAATACATATCAATATTTTTAATTAGTTATAACATAAATTTTTGTTTAACATTAATATAAATTTTAATTAAGAGTTAATTAATAAAACAAACTTTTCATATTCTTTAAGTGTTTTAAAATTTAATATTAAAATTTATTAATTAAAATTTAAGGACAGGTGTCAACCTATCCAATGCTGATGTGTCAATCATGTGGAGAAAGTTGAGCAACTTTTATATATAAGGTTTATTTTTTGAGATTTGATGTCCTTTTTTATTAATGTTCTTTTATTAATTTAGACATGATAATGGTAAGTCTTTTTTCCGATTCCTTTTTTCCATAACTGAAACCAAACAAGTAACAATCCAATATCCAATCGGCAACGTAAAAAACATGTACATGAAGCATGCAGGAGCTTTCGAAACTTCAATTGTTTATTAAATCTAATAATATTAATAAAAATAGTTGATTCATCAATACCTCTTAAAAAGTTATATATGAAAATGCTATTTTGGGTTAAGAATATTGATGGTATATTTATACTAAAAAGGTAACTTTTGGTACACAGATGACCAAGTCTTGTAATATGAACCAAAGCTTGAAGTGAAGAAGAAATAAATCTATGTTAGTTTCTTTGGCATAGTGAGTGATATTCCCTTTTGCCTGTCTCTAACGAAACTTCCTGCGGAAATCTTTGATTACTTCTAGGACTTCAAGTTATAAACTCAAGTAGCAACAACAAAACCTGTTCTTCCTCTCCTGATTCTCGCCGTAATCTGACCAGATTTCCCTGCATTAACCGGTTCGTGTCAGTAATTCCTAAACCATTTTAACAGAAAACAAGATGTGCGTAAAGATATTTAGACAAAGTTATGCATGTAGACAAGTTTTCTATTTAAGTATCTTAACACACATTTAGATCAAAAAAAGTTTTCTCTACTTGAATTACTTTCTTCTATACTAAATTGATTAGATTCTGCAACTTGTGAGTATAGCACTATTCTGATACATGTGGTTATTCTGCAGATCTCAAAGGCCTATACCAAAAATATGATTGAAAACCATCAAATGCAGTCATATTTCAACCCCTAAAGATCAAATCGTACGTGATTGAGGATTCCGAGATTCTGCTACAATGATATTGGACGTATTCTAGTAATTTGAGTCGGTCATTCAGCCTAAATCTAGATTTCCTCCAATGATATTCTACTAGGGATAGATATTATAACCCAAAAACAACTGTGAACCTAAACCAGTTCCATTCTATGCCAAGTTCACCCCTTCTTTCTCCTCGCCAAATGCGTTAAGAGTATGCATTTTGCTAGAATATCAAACTTTAGTAGGTTCGCTAAAGTTTCTAACTTTCTATGATCCTTCTCGCTGTTTTCAAAAGACTTCTATTAAACTCTAGAGTAGAGCAAAAATTTAACTATAACATTACGCAGCCTAATTGATAAGTAACCTATAATACATCAGCTAAAGAATAAGTTCTTAGCATTTCAGCAACTCTTCAATCTCTCCTGATGAGTGATTATCATCTTTCAGGAACTACACTAATGGAGAGATCACCAAGCCTAGGAAGATTATACAGCAAAAATGTAGCAACAACAATGGAGGTAAGGCTCTAGTGGCTTCATGTTGACTCACAATCCTTTCACAACCATTGTAAATAGTAAAGCTTTTATCCAATAAAAGACTCTGGTTTATCGATTACCTCATCGGATTCTCCTTATAGCTAATTTGCTCCAGATTTTGAGCTCCTAAACCCTTTCTTAAGCTCTGTAACTCTCTTCATACAAGCTGCCTTCGACTTCCCAGGAACTGCAGCTGCTATCTTTTCCCATCTCATAGCTGCTTCCTTTGGAAAAGCTTTTAGAGCACTGAGCAGTGCAATGTCTTCTCCATTACTCCAACTCTCCTTATTAGCTTCGTCATCTCCGCCAGCTCCAGAGTTCTCATCTTCTTCTTCACCCAATCTAGGATCCGAAGCTTTCCTATTCTTCAGAAACTGAGCATAATCGTCACTCTCGTAGATTTTCTTCTCTCCGATCTCTTTCGCTTTCTTGATCACATTCTCCGTCCTGTATCTTCCCCCGAACGCCGCAGCAACCGCTTCCCACCTCCCAGGCTTACCGGCGGGATGCTTTATCAGCTGCTTCTTCAAAACCTCGATCTCTTCTTCAGTCCAATCCTTGGTTTCCTTCACAGATCCATTCTCATTAGTTTGTGGAATCCCACCTCGATCCACTTTTCTCGAAACTTCCGTCGCCGGAGAAGGATTTTCCGGCGGATTATCGTTCTTCGTCCCCTTATTAGATCGCTTATTCACCGATTTCCTCCTCGATTCGCGCTCGTTATCAGTCGACAGCTCACCGCCGTGGATCTGTTCTGGCTCAATTATCTGGCCATAACCGACGCGAATCTTACCACCAGTGAGCGAAGAAGGCGCGAAAGGACCGACGAGGAAGGAGATGGAAAGCCATAAGAGGAGCGATTTGGAAGGTTCGGATTCGAAGTAGAAGAATGAGAGTGATAAAATGAGGAGAGCGATAGTGACGGAGATTGAGATAAAGATCTTGTTGGAGGTTTTGGGATCATCCTCCTCCGTCTTGCGAGAAGAGGATGGACGTGATTGGAAGACGAATCTAGGCCTGTCTTCGTCGAAGAACTCCATTGCTCTCCGATTCGTCCGTACTCTTCTGTAGAAGAAGGCAAGAAGCAGATAGAATTAAAATTTAATGTTGCTTGAAAAAGATAACTAAGTTTTGAGCCTTCAAGTTTTGTTTGGGCTTTTGGGTACTATAAACTATAAAGTCCATATAAGAAGATTTTTGAGCTTATGTGAAACTTGGATGAAATTTCATGTGTTTATTTTTTTCCGGATTTTCAAATTCCAAGTATCCGGAATTAGCCGTAGATATTCCAAATTAAAAAATAACTCTCCATCCCAAAAAATACTAAATTTTGAGTTAAACAGTTAATTTTGAACATAATTAATACGGGTAGTATATATGCTCAAGATTGCAGATATACAAAAGTCACAAAAGATTGTGCCACTAATCACAAAGATGGAGTCTAGGCTCCTACAAACTTGGAAATCAAAACTACTCTAAACTTGACTTGCATTTCAATTTATCATGAACATGGAGTCTCAGATCCTACAAACTTGGGAACATCTTTCTTCCAAACAAAACAGGAAATAGAGCACAACTTACTTATTTGTAAAAAAAATACAAAACTAAATCAAAGAAGAAGACTCAATCTTGGTACATGGATTTGAGCTTCCTTACTGATGCTTGTTTGTTCCCCTAGACAAAAGATTCGTTAGCATAGTTCTTCCTCGAGGTTCCTTGATATACATCCGGTCATCTAAGTAGGCCGTGATATCGTTTATGATAATCTGCAGACCAGAAGAAGAAACGTCCTTTTCCTCCTTCAACTTCGCCAAGAATTGCTCTCTGACAACACTCAGAAGTTTCAAGAACTGAGATCTGTACCTCTGATAAAGACCAAACCCTGCGGTCTGGAGAAACGCGTTTAAAGCAGTTGCGGTAGCTCTGTTGTGTGCTTTGGTTCTGTTAAGGAACCGAGCAAGCCAAACCCATCCGTGTTCAATCCCATGAACGTTACAGCGAATATCAGTCTGGACAAGTGCACCGTATAGTCTCATAATGGAATCTAGGCGTTTATATGCGTCTAAGTCCCAAGCTAACTCAATATTATGATTTGGGACTGTTGTGTAAATGCAAGCTTTGTGGAATTCAGCAAGAAGAATATCCATCGCTTGTGGAAACTGTGAGGTGATGTAAACGATGACGTAGCTGCAAGCAAATGGATTTCCACAAGCTGAAACCATCTTCTTTGCAAAAGCTGAGATACTTATGGATAAGGGACAAGAAGGGTCTCTGAATATTCTTAGAATCTCATTGGTACTTGCGACTACGTTATCCTCTGTCCCGCAGATTTGCCTTATGATTCTTGCGATACGCTTCTCAAAGCTGCTAAAGTCTTTACATGAACGTGACTTTAGCCATTGGTTCACTGCTTCTAACTCGTGAAGCTTCTTCAACATGTATGTCATGGATCTTTCCGCAGCTTGATCACCATTATTGTTGTTCCATGTCTCTTGCTCAAGTTTTTCTTTTACTTTTGCTGCTTTTCTCTGATCAGCTTCTTTTTCTTGATGTGTACGTTGTTGTTGGACTGAAGTCAGATAGGTATCGAGTGATTCAGCAAGTTCTCGCTTATATTGAAGATCAAGTCTACGTTCCACTTGTCTCCTATCCTCTCTGTAATTTTCAACGCGGGACATTGCAGAGCGAAACGTTTCAGTCTCGTGCAATATCTCTGTTTCAAGAATCTGAATATCTTCCTTGATTTTGGTTTTGCTCTTGTCGTTGATCATCAGATATGAATCCTCATCGTAGGCAAAACGTTTCTTGGCTGTACATATTTCACAATATTCTTCTTCTTCTTCTTCTTCATCGCAGTCAATCTCATCTTCAGACACATGGATTATGAATTCTTTATTACCATTCTTTGAAAAGACATTGAGATTCTTTTCTATATAATCAATCTCAGAGACCAAGCTGTTCAATTCTGAAACAATTCTCATTACGCAATACGCAATCAAGAAATCGGAAACGGTGAAGCTGGAAATAATAAAGAGATCGTCTTTCTTGTTAATTCTACTTTCCGAATCAAAGATCGCACAATCTATTGATTTTATTAACAAAAAGAAAAGGAAATTCTGTTGTTAGACAGGGAAAAAAGGAAATTATTTAGAGACAGAAAAAAGGAAAGAAAATAAAAAACGAGTACGAAAAGTCAAAGCCTTAAGCGAGTTATTTATCTCTTGCTTTACAACTTGGAGTTATTAAATTCTAAAATCGGACGGTTCAGATTGGAGATGACGTCAATAACGAAACAATCTACGGTTTATATGTAATTTATTACAAAAGGTAGGTGAGACGCAGGAGATAATAGCTAGCAGCCTAGCACCCACGAGACACGACACGACCATAATATTATTCTTTTTTTACGCTGAGATATTATAAAGTAGGGTTTTTTTTTTTTTTTTATATGTTATCACGAGAACCTCACAAAAATACGCGGCAAGGAGAGAGAGATAGAGAGAGCGGTGGAGTCGTAGTTTTGGGAACGAGAAAGCTCTGGATAACGTCTTTTACCGTCGTCGGAGACGGATTTTATGCCTTTCGGCTCTTGAGGTAATCAAACATCTTTATGATTTTGACTGATTTTGATTTCTCCGTTTTGATGTTCCTTTTTGTTTTTGCGCTCAATCGGATCGGTTTTGGTTTTGGGTTACGCTTCTGTGGGTTTTTTTTTTTTGGTTATGTGCTCGTATTGGATTTTGAATCTCTTCGTTGATTGAGATCTGAGATAAATTTGGCCGGTGATTGCTTTTGTTTGACGAAAATTGAGATTTTGGTGATGATTTTGAATTTCCTCGTTTAGATTGCAGTTTGGTTTCTTAGGGTTTTGTGAATTTCTTGGAGTCTATTGGAACTGGAATTTCATATTTTTTTTTCTCCAGATGATACCTTCAATGGTTTCCATGGTTATGGAATCGTTATTGTTTCTTTTGTGTTTCAAGCGTATTTGTTGTGCTGCTTCTGATATTGATTTGTTACTGCTGATGTGTTCATTACCAGGTTATATTAAGCTTCTTTTCTAGTGGATTTTCTTCTTTTGAGATATGGAACAAGATTACATCTGCTCAGGCTGCTTCCAGTATCGGGTTTTCTCATTGCAAGAAGCACTCGATTGGCGGTTTCTTGCGCGCGCAGATATCCTTGTTGGCTCTTTCGTGAACTGCACTTAGTGGTCAGACCTCCTTCTGCAAATTTCCGAGTCAGGTATGGTTTTTTGGACGAAGCTATTGCATCTTATAGCTTACACGAGATGTTTCTGATAGATGGTTTTCGTGAGTGTATGAATTGTCTCTTTGATTTCTTGACTTACTTGAGGAGAGCTAGCTGTAAATTTATTGAGTATATAAGGAGGTTTATCAGATTTCTACTATATTTTTTTGGATTATGAATACAGAATATGGAAATTTAGAGAAAGGAAAAAACTCCTATCAAGAATTTAGGAAATCTCAAAAAAGGAAAAATAGATGATATTGTTATAAACACGTCATATACTCCAAACTTATAAATAGATTATCCGAGTCTTGTATTTTCTTTTACGTCATATTTTCTGAAACATCATCTTTCTTTTGTGCAGGGCTGATGTCTGAAAGTTATCGTTCCTTCACATAGTCGTAGAGTCCCTGGAGTTAAAAAAAATTGTTAGTCCCTATTCCACATCTAATCCTATGGGAGCTGATTGAAGAAGGATGTACCAGTTTCTTTTCAAGTTTTGACATGTCGTAGAGTTGATAGTCTTTTCCCCGAGTCTCCGAACCCCTTGACTGTAATGTTGTGAGCGTGGGTTTCCTCCTGTTACCCAGAACATCCATTCTTGTTGGTTCATCGCGTCGTCCGGTTATCAGTCCTTCTTGTTAGTTCATCGCGTCGTCCGGTTCTCAGTATGCTTCGTCGTCTTCTCTTGGTGTCTTTCTTTTTCGTTTATGGTCAACCGATTGACTTTCAAAGTAAATAACGGCCAGTCTACTCAGCGGGAGAATCATTGAGTTTGCTGCCATACGAACAACTGGAAGCTTAAAGTTATAGACATATTATAGAAGTTATCTACAGACAAAAACTAAAGGGGATACTTTGCTTTACCGTAGAGACGATGGAGAGGTAGGTTTAATTCTCTTTAACTTTTCTCTTATCTTTGGCTTCAGACCCATTGATTTATAATCTGTTTGCTTTTCGATGCCTTATGCAACTGTAGGTATAATTTAATCAAAGAAGTTGGTGATGGAACTTTTGGGAATGTTTGGCGAGCTTTTAATAAACAGACGGGTGAAGTTGTAAGTTGTTTTCTTTGAGAGATCAAGGCTTCTATACCATTTTTGCTTTATTTTTTTAGGGTACTGAAGTTTTTAATGGACAGGTTGCAATTAAAAAAATGAAGAAGAAGTACTACTCTTGGGAAGAATGTGTTAATTTGAGAGAAGTGAAGGTATTGTATCTCTTTTACAGAATTGATATCAGTCTTTCTTCTTGTATGTTTGCTGATTCCTCTCTTTTCTCATATTAGTCGCTTAGCAGAATGAACCATCCAAACATTGTGAAGCTGAAGGAAGTCATCCGGGAAAATGATATCCTCTACTTTGTGTTCGAGTACATGGTATACTTCTTACTACCTTATTTTAATCTTTTTGCCATATCTTATTCTTCTCCATTCTTCTGAAAATTCTTTCTGTTCTTATTCGACCAGGAGTGCAATCTTTACCAGCTTATGAAGGATCGCCCTAAGCTTTTTGCGGAATCTGATATCCGTAATTGGTGCTTTCAAGTTTTTCAAGGCCTTTCTTACATGCATCAGCGTGGATACTTCCACCGTGATCTTAAGCCAGGTAATTGATTGCCAATCAACATCAGCACATGTGCGATGGAGATGGACTATTTTGATTCAATTTCCAAGTTTTTCTACTGCAGTCATAGTTAACAGTGAAACATGTGTACTTTTTTCTGATGCAGAAAATCTATTAGTCTCTAAAGATGTCATTAAGATTGCTGATCTTGGCCTGGCCCGGGAGATCAATTCAAGTCCACCTTATACAGAGTACGTCTCCACACGCTGGTAAGATCCACTTCCCTTCTCTGTTGAAATGAGTCCTCAACAAAATCCTCTCATTGTAGTTCGATGATACATCTGTATTATTCCATATCTCTTCCATACTCACCCCTAAAATCCGTGCTCTAAATTTCTAACAGGTACAGGGCACCTGAAGTACTGTTACAGTCATATGTGTACACGTCGAAAGTTGGTTAGTGTTCTCTAAATTCTAATTAAAGAAGCGTCTTTCAGTATGGTGTGATCCATTGCTTTAATAATGGAGTAATTTTTATTGTGTTTCAGATATGTGGGCAATGGGCGCTATTATGGCTGAGCTTTTGTCTCTTCGCCCTCTTTTTCCCGGAGCTAGGTATTTGTCAATGGTGGTTTATTACAATTTCCCTGTATAAATTATTGTTGCGGATGTGATGCTAAACTAGCAAAAATGTCTCTTCTAATGGTTGCAGTGAAGCAGATGAGATCTACAAAATCTGCAGTGTGATAGGCAGCCCAACTGAAGAAACATGGTTGGAGGGGCTTAACCTTGCTAGCGTTATCAATTACCAATTCCCTCAGGTAAACTCTTTGCTCAAAACTCTCAAACGTCTCTGGTGAAAAGAGCGTCACAGATTTTTGTATTCTTAGGATTACGAGTAATGACCTGTTTGTTATCTTGCAGCTTCCCGGTATACACCTCTCTAGCTTGATGCCATATGCTAGTGCAGAGGCGGTTAACCTTATCGAGCGTCTCTGCTCATGGGATCCATGCAATAGACCCACTGCTGCAGAGGCTTTGCAGCATCCTTTCTTCCAGAGTTGCTATTATGTTCCACCATCTCTCCGTCCCAAACCTTCTGTCGGACAGAGAGGCTCTCTCGAGCATCAGCAGCAGCAATCCGGCAAGAGGTTGCCGGCGACTTTGACCAATAATACTGCTACTAATAATAAGCCATTCAACAGTTACACTACTCCAAAGGCGTATGCTCCTTTTGGCTCACAGAAGTTGGACATGGCAAATAAGATTAACCAGGACACGGCATGGAACAACAAACCTGTGGGAAACTGTCATGTCAGAGATGCAAAGTATATACCACCTGGAAGGAAGAGTCCTCGTAAGTAAAATTCACATGTATAATATATATTTTGTTTCACATAATGTCTAGTTTGATTATTCATCTGAAGGAAATCAACTCGTTTGCAGAAGCATCTACGAACAAGAACTGGGTGTTTGCTCGTGGGCCATCAGAGACTACGAATAAAGTGGCAAACGCAGCAACGGTGGTGGGAGGAGGAAGATGGGGTGAAAGTCAAAGGCAACAACAACCGGCGATGAAGGCAGGGTGGATGGGACAAAGTGGTGACGTGTTCCTCAGACCTACACAGCCTCCCAATCCTTACTCTAGGAGAATTGCTGGTTAAAGCCCAAACCAAACACACGTTTCTCTTATGACTCATTATGTTATATGAGCCATCATCATCATCATCATCGTTTTGCTTTGGATTATCCTCATCATCTACTATGTTTCCTCCTCCTAAAACTTTCTGGTTTGTCCATGGAGTTTCTTCCGTCTGTTCCTAACTTTTATGTTTCGGTCTTGGCTTGACTATTATGTATGCAGTATTTTTTTTTTTTTTGCCGCAAGAAAGGTCTCGACTTTGGACCATTTTTCATAATGAATGAAATCAGAGACGATAAAATTGAAGTTCTATAGTTAAAAGTTTTCATAATGCACTTATTTCGCCTCTGTTGCGACAGCTTCTCTTCTGCAACTTTGGCCTCTGGACTGATTTTAGGAGGAAAACCATGGACTTGTTGATGATTTTGTGTACGATACCTTTTTTCAGTTCTTGCACTTCCCTCATTAGTCTCATTTCTACCATGAGCTGACTCCATACGTGCGGCCAATATTTGTGAAAGTACCAAATAATTTTTTGCACATCGGACATGTATAGGAACCGTATTTTTCATTTGGTAAGCCACGTGCCCGCCCCGCGTTTTCATCATCTTCCTTTTTTTCGTCTTCCTTGTAATCAACATAATCAGGGAACTCAGTAGATTTACGGAATTTCTTCACCGGCCGACCATCTTCGTGAACATATTGCTCATGACGACGATGTTTTGGCGACAAGTCACGTAGGTCTAAATTCTGAAGACATGTAGGGACTTGTTGTAAAACAATGAAATCGATAGGTTCAGGGTAAATTGGTAAGTACTCTTTATCACAAACATGTGTGATATGTGAATGGGAAAATCTAGGATTCGATATGGTTGGTTGGGAAGTCATGACACGCTTGAAACGTTCATTACTATTCTGGATAGTGACCATATTATTGGTCGGAACACCAGTAGCATGATACCTTTTTGTGAAAGTTTTTTTGGAGAAACGAGTTTGAGTTTGAGTGATCAAAACCGGAGAAAACTGAGAGTGAACAAAACCTGAGATTTGAGGCATGCAAGGCGTTCCCACAGCAGGAACCATGTTGCTTCGCATCGGGTAAGCCAAACGTGAATTGTTGGCTCTCAAGGAAGGTGAAGAGACTTGGGAATCATAATAGGAAGAAGTAAAAGATGGAAATGAAGAAACCATATTGGAATGGCTTAAAATAGAGACACTCTACACTAACCAGAGTCTCTATCACACTTAAGCTATTTCAGCTAGTGTTATATCCGAAGCTTCTCACTTGAGCTTCTTCTTGATACTCGATCATCGTCTATCCTTCACATATCTACCTATTTATATTAGTTAGTACACATGCATTTAAAAGGCTAGTTTAGAAAATTTGGAAAAAAGAGAAATTATTTTAAACACATATATGAGTCACATTTTTCATGGTGATTTGTTAGTCATTTCAATCAGAAATTTCTATGTACGAGTCCAAAATTTTTATTTTCTTTTTTCTTTTGCTTAATGGCTTAGCTGCAGTTTGTAGAGAATCATTTATTATGTTAATTACTCTTTAGTTTCCCTTTAAAGTGTATATCTCATAAAAATTGTAAAAAATTCTTTCTAATCTTTTATCGTTATCTTTGTAATCGTTATCGTTATCTTTTGTAATCGTTTATCGTTATCTTTTGTAATCGTTTATCGTTTTCTTATTAGTTAATATTAACAAAACGATTACATTTTGTATTCTTACGATGTCCGTTGGATTAGCATCAGTATTCAGTACTGAATTGAGGAAAATAAACTAAAGTGGTACCCTAGTTACACAAAAAGACCCTTTGTTACACAAAAAAAAAGAAAAAAAAAAAGAAATTAAAGTGGGCTAGATAATAGCACAACACGAGCCACACAATGAAATCGACGGCCCATAATTCACGGCACTTTTACCAAAAGGCCCATCAAATTTGAAACCCCTAACGACTTTTTTCTCCTATCTAATAATAAATACGCATGGGCCTTGGGCTTGAGCTTCATCGTTCCAGCCAAAGAGAGATCCAACGGCGACGATGGTTTTCCCGTTATCTCCGTCCCGTCACTGAGCGGAAGAGGGAGAAGAAAGGAAACGAAGAAGAGATGAGAAAATAGGCGGGAAAATCGAGAGTGGCGAGAATCCTGCCTCCCCCACCAACACGAAAATTAATTAACGGTACTCTTCGATGTTGTGGAATTCGATGAAATTTGTTGTTCATGGTTTTTGTTTGAATAAGGCTTCTGGTTCACGACTATGTATCGATTAATTTGATTTCCCATGAAGAGAATTTGACTATCCGTATAGCTGATGATAGTGCCATGATTTCATTTGAGCTCAACATCTACTTGTTTCTTTTTAGGTTGATTTGGTTTCTGTCCGTGTGATGTGTTTTGTGTTAGGGATTTTGATTTGATTGTGTGTGGGTTGTTTGTTTGAGATGAAATGTGTTGTTGTTTTTCTTCTCTCTTCAGTTATGGTGAAGATCAAGTAGAGGGATTTACGATCTTACATGACAACATCTTTGGGCTATGTATGATAACTGTGCTATGTGTAATCTGGACTCAGCCAGACTGATCTTAAAGCATACATATGTCATGAACCCATGTTGGATCATTTGGCAAAGGTGATAGACATCACAAGAAGCATTACAGTGTCATGCCGAAATTAAAAAAGAGTTCATGGTTTTGACTTTTGATCAGAAAGTAGAAGCAAGAGTTCATCGTTTAGCAAAACAGTGCAATAGACAACAGAAGATCCCATCACCACAAAAGCATACAACGTCATCATCTCTATGGTTTTTTGAGCAGAAGGTAGAAGGAATACAATGCAGAATAAATATTAGATACCGGGAAATGGCAAAAGTTATGGAACAAAGTCTTCTTTATTTTTGGAATCTCACTTGCCTATTATGAGTTTGGCCCTTGCATCTCCTTTGTTGATTTGGAACTGATCTGTTAGTCCAAAGTGAGCCATCAGAAGCCAAACGAAGTTGATAAGCTCAGCGCCTCTGGTGAGTTGCTCCACATGAGCCGTAGCATCGCAATGACACGCTGCATGACAGAGCAACTCCACCCACACTTTGCTCAGTATCTCCCACTTGTCTATCTCAAAATGCTCCTCCAGCTTCATAAGGTCTTTAGCCAGCCTACTCGCATCAAACAAAACAGACTTACTTCGATCCCCCTTGACCCCCATCGGATCGACATCACTACTGATGTCGAGGATCGTCTCGCTGGCTAGCTCCACGTCTCTATAGTTCTCAATATGCCTCCTTTGGAAGAACTTGTCAGCTTCAGCCAATGTGTCTCTGAATCTGATCTTCCCAATTCCAGCAACCTCTGACATCAGACCAGGTTGCAAGATCAGGAGATACATCATGTAGTCTGAGATGATCTTGCTGAACTCGCGGTAACTGTAATGCTTAGATTTATCATAGTCCTTAGGGATGGTCTCTTTTTTGTTTTGGTAACAAAGCTCGGTTGCGATGTGCCACATCAATAGACTCTGATCATAATCAACGTTTGTGACATAACGCACCAGTTTTTCCCGGTCTGCGCCTTCTGGCAGGTTAGCTCGTAGAGTCCATTCTCCACGAGCCAAAGATATCCTTTTGGCGTTTTCAGGACTGTCTCCAAACTTTGATTTAGTTTTCAGCTCCTCGAACATGAACTCCCACAGCTGTTTCGTCATGGGCTCCCCGTGAACAAACAGATTCTTGTGGATCTTATCAAGCACATCCGAGATGTCGAAGAAATCGAGGATGCCATTACAAAAGGATTTGGTAGCATGAGGAATGTTGGATACGAACCCGATATAGAAAGGGAAAAGACAACGACGAGCCCAAAGTTTCTTTCTTGATGTCTCATTGACTTTGCGGGTGATCGCCCTGTGCACAACACTGATCCCCTTCATCATCCATTCACCAAGTTTCTGGATGACGAAGTTGACTAGTCCAAATGGGTAAGCTATGATAATCCATGAGTAAATGCGGAACCCACTCCTGGCGTCATGAATCCTCTCTACCTTTGCATTTGTGGCGTAAGCTAGAAAGTTGAATACGTTCATGCTTCCACACCACCTCCGGAGGAAGAATTGCGTCGTGAGGACGTCATGCACATTGACACACTTACATTCTTGGGTACACTTTTGCTCACACTTACATTCTTGGGTACAGTTATGCTCACCATTCTCGTAGCACGCTTGCTTCATCCAACTCAACTTTCTTTGACCAAGTAACCAGTTGAAAGCTTTATGGAACGGGGACCATAGAGCTTCTTCAGGGTCGTCTTTCAAGCTAGTTAGTGCAGCAAACGTCCAGTCAGAGAACATAAACAAGAGGATGGATATGAAATCCAAAGCTAGGCCAACTCCGAACAGCGTGTAGGTAACCACGACATCAGCATCATGAAAGTCTTTCCATTTGTTAGGTTTCTTATGAAAGAGGATGAAGGCTGCGACAAGGGTACCAGAAGCAACAACCCGTGAGAGAGAACCAATGAAGGTATGGAGAACCGCGATCTTGGTAAATAGAGCATCATAGAGGAAACCAAGCTCAACCTCAATGATCCTCAGAGCTTCCTCTGCATCTTTCAAATTCTCAAAGATCTCTAGGCTCTCGTCACGCTCCCTGAAGCTGAAGATGAGGTTGACTACAAGGCCCTTGAAGGTGTTGAAGAACCTGTAAGCATACTGAACAATCTCAAGATGGTACAACTTTGTCGTGTCTTTTCGTCCTCTAGATGAGCCGTTTGATGGATGCTGCGAGTCTTTTCTTTCTCCAGACAAGGCCTTTGATGGATGCACTAGCTTCTTAGGCCTATGTTCCTTGTCAGGCTCATCAATCAGAATGATCTTTGTGGGTAGTCTTGCCTCGTTCTTGGCCTTGTACTCCTCCATGAGCTTGGCGTAGTTTGGTCCTGGATCTGGTGCTTGAATCATAGAATCCCTAAACTTGTCCAAACTCGCACTGTACAAAGCCGTTGTCCTCTCGATATACTTTATAGCCCCAGAAGCGAAAACTAAGGCAATTATTACCAAGAGGCTATTGGGCAGAGACTGGAGAACCACATAGACACCAGCAATCGCCTGAAAGACAAGCCCAAAGACGTGCCTGAGCCAAAGAGCGTTGTCTTCAAGAGCAAAAGCTGTGATTGTGTCTGGTCCACCAAGATGCAAGAGCAAGAATGGTGCCCATAAAGCCATGAGCTTTTTGTCCTGTGGAGGGTCATCAGGCTTGGATTCTTTACCTTGGTTCTTGGAGATGAGACCAACAGCGAAATTAGCAGACCAATCTGCTAAGAGGTAAGAGGTCCAAACGAGTATGATCAAGAGGCTTCTTGGTGTGCGTTTCCTTAAAGGAGAGAAGCAAATGAGAATTGCTTGAAGGGTTAGACTTAGAATGATTGCTCCTCTTATGTTCCATCTATCCCACACATCTTTTATGTGTTTTGGTATCACATCCACCATTTTTGTTGCTCTCTAAAGAAAAAGAAATAGCTTCTTCTTGTTCTCTCCTCTCTCTCTCTAAGATTCTCACTTAAGAAATTTGTGGTTCTTCCTTTTCTCTCTCTTGATGTGGTTCTTCCTTCTCTCTCTCTTCTGGTTATTGAGATGTTTCTTTCTCAGATTTACTTGAGAAATTTGGGGTTTGTGGAATGGGTTTGGGAAGCCATTGATGTTTTTTTTTCTTGTTTTTATTTGTTTAATCAGAAGCTCACTCGGGAGGGAGAGAGAGACGACTCAGCGGCTCAGGTCTAGCTGTATTTTGTTTTTTTTTAATAAGAATTAATTTGCATTTTCACTCTCTTTTAACAATTAATGCGTCATTTTTTTGGGCGGGGTGTTGAGACTTGTGAAACGACTTAACTATTGGTCTTTTTTATAATGTAAATATGTTGAATAATAATTACAATTTATTAAATAGTTCAAGTGTCATTAGTTGAGCTCGCGTCGTTTTAGTAAATAATGCATGGAACCACTAAAGTCGAAGTTGAATTTTTAGACTAGGATTTTAAAAATAATTGTTAAAAGTATGATTGCTATGGTTATCTAAAAAAAATTGTTGTGTATTATTAAAGATTGTCCCGGGTTCATATTCTTTTTTACTAAAGTCATTATTTAATGACCATTGACCAAAAAAGAAAATATCAAAGATTAAAAACTACTTTTCTTGCTGTCGATGCAAAAAAAAAAGCTTCTCCTTTATGCTAAATTTTATACGGAGTAACTCAATAATTTAGCAGATAGTTTGATTATGTGGGTAATTTAAGTGTAAAACCTCAAATTTAAGATAGAAAAAAAAATGTCGAAAAAAAAGTGGCAAAAAAATAACGTGTTCTATAAATTTGAGAACAAACTGTTTTAGTTTTATCTTGTCGGGAAAAAACACCAACAACATTTGCATTATTTATTTAGAAAGACAAAATGTTTGATTTTCATTTTTGTCAACAATTGTCACGAAACAATTTTATTGAGATTTGAGACAATTTACCCTTTTTCACTACTGTATTTTGTTTTTGACAAAACGAAAAAACAGCCGAAAACAAAAAAAATAGTTTGTTCATAATTTACCTTTTTCACTATATTTAGTCAAGAACAGCCGAAAAAAAAAGAAAAACAAAAAAACCTAGGTGCGAAATTGAAATTGAAATTCCATCGCTGCGAATTGAACACTCTGTAGTGTTCATAATTCTTTTTTTTTTCTCGGAGAAAAAGAGAGAATGCCAGAAAGAAATTGAAGGGATAACGAAGGTTCGTGGAAACGATTCATGATCTGAGTTTCATATGAATTTTTTTTTCCCGTACTCTCCAATTGATGATTTAAGCGTTGAAAATTCGCCGTTTAGGGTAAATATGTATCACGGATTTGAACCTGAGTTTCTCGATTGCATCAGTTTTAAGTTAAGATTCTGATTGGATGATATTCAGTATCACTGATACCTTGTAGACAATATAGCATTCAAAGACATAACAAGAGTTTACATGCTTTGTCCGATTTCCTCTAAATTGGAATTTTAAAATTCCTTGTTTACTTATTTTGTAGGATGTAAAAGTAACAGCCTTTTGGAGAGTATCACAGGAATCAATGAAGCTCCCATAAAATCAATTTATCAGCCAATCAGTGGATAAACAAGAAGGAAAGGAGTTACAATGCAGATTATTCAAGAACAGATAGTTTCTGGTAATGGTATGATAGCTCCAAACAGTTCAAGACAATACCCTTTTGAAACAAAATTTATACAAAAAGAAAACACAACTGAAGCAACAGGATACTAATGTTGCTGCTACTTTTTTTTTGTGTGTGATCACTTGCCTATGATCAGTTTGGCTCTGGCATCTCCTTGGTTGATCTGGAATTGGTCTCCTAATCCAAGATGAGCCATCAATAGCCAAACAAAGGTTATGAGTTCTCCACCTTTGCTGAGCTGAGCTGCGTGTTCTATAGCTCCACATTTAGTTGCTGCATAAGAAAGCAACTCAACCCACACTTTGCTCACCATTTCCCACATCTTTGTGTCGTCCTTGTCCTCCTTGACTATACCCTTCAGCTCCTTAGCTAGCATGCTCCCGTCAAACAGCACTGACTTGCTTCTATCACCTTTCACGTCGATAGGTTCAGCTTTCGCCGGAGACTTCACGGACATGATCGCATCGCTGGCCGTCTTTATGTTTCCGTTATTGATATGCCTCCTTTTGAAGAACCTCTTAGCCTCCTCGCACGTGTCCCGGAACCTTATCTTTCCAATACCAGCAACAGCTGACATCAGAGTTGGTTGCATCATCATGAGGTACATCATGTAGTCTGAAAGCACTTTGCTGAACTCACGGTAGCTATGGTTCTCTTCAGTGCCTTTTTCTGTTTGGTATAAGAGCTCAGTGGCGACATGCCACACAAGAAGGCTCTGATCATAATCCATTTCCAACACATACCGTAGAAGCTTTTCAGTTGCTGCGTCTTCGCCTTGTATAGCTCGTAGAGTCCAGTCACCTCTAGCTGAAGATACCCTCATGGCGCTTTCTGAGTCGTCAGCTGAGCGGGATTTCGATCTAACCTCTTCGAATATGTGTTCCCACAGATCCAGGGTGAGACGATCACTGGATGTGAAGATCATCTCCTCTAGCTGAGCTTGGATTCCGAAGAAGTCCATGAATTTTCTTATTAGATATCCAAACATATGAGCAAGGATAAATAACCAGTAGATGGAGCCCCTAATAGCATCTTCATTCAACCATTTGCTATCCTTGCAGCTGAGACTTATCCTATTGTCACCCCACTTGTAAATCTTTTCAATTCCCTGGTTTATTTCCCTGAAGCAGAATGCAATGACTTTTCCAATTCCTTTGAAGATGAATCTGATGAGGAGGACTTTGATAATCCAGCTAAATGACATGTGTATGAAACCCTTGGTATGGTGGATTCGTTGTGGCCTTATCCATAGGCAGTATTCGATCAAGTTGTGTGCATGCACGTACTCAGACCACCTGCGTGACAGAAAAAAAGTGTCGAGTACTTCATGACACGTTTTCTCCTTCTTGACGCTTTCTTGTTCCTTCCACTGCAACCCCATGGAACTGAGGATCCTGATTAGAAACTTTTGGAACCTGTTATCTTTATTGTCCTCTTCACCAGACGTTTTGTCCTTGTTACTCTCGCAGCTTGTTGTGTGTTTCTTCTTCTCCAACCCCATGAAACTGAGCATCCGGGTTAGAATCTTTCCGAACCAGTTGGCCTCATTGTGCCCCGTGTCCACTTCACGAGACGTTTCATCCTTGGTACTCTTGGGGCTTGTGTGTTCCTTCTTACCCAACCCCATGAATCTGCCCACCCATTTTAGAATCTTGACGAGCCAATTATCTTCCTTGTCCGGTTTATCCTCGGTACTCTTGAAGCATTTGTACTTCTCTGTCTTCAACTTTCTTCTGACCCCCAGGATCCACTTAAGAATCCAGTTGAGAGTTTTGTCTAACCAGTTGTCATCATCGTCCACTTCGTCCTTCATTTTCCTCAATCTGACAAACGTCCAGTCAGATAGACAGAACATGATAAGAGCAATGGAATCCAGAGCTATCCCTCCTATCAGCAATGCATAAGTAAGGCCAACATCAAATCCAACGTATTGGTCCTTTTTCTTGTATTGGAATATGCGGAGGGCTGCTATGAGACATCCCAGGGCAATGAACCTGAAGCTGACTCCTATCCAATTATGCAGAATCTCGGCTTTCGTGTAAAGAGCTTCGTAGATGAAGTTGAGCTCAACCTCTAAGATTCTTAGAGCTTCATCTGCTTCAAGTGAGCTAAAGAATCGCTGGCTCTCAGCTCGTTGTTGAAAGGTAAATATGAGATCAACCACAAGACCTTTGAAGATGTTGAAGTACTTGTAGGCGTATTGGAGAATATTGAGCTCGGTCAGCTCATCAGGCTTAACCTTAGCATCGGCTCTTGGGTCTTTCTCAGGCTCTTCCATCTTGATGATCTGTGTAGGCATCCTCATAACTTTCTTGGCCGCGAATTCCTCCATGAGCTTCGCGTAGTTTGGTCCAGGATCTGGCCGCTGAATCATGGAATCCTTGAACTTGTCAAGACTCGCCAGGTACAAAGCTAATGTCCTCTCGACATACTTGATCACTCCTGTCGCAAACACTAGCACAGTGGGTTTCCAAAGAGCGTTGGGTAGCGACTGAAGAAGCACGTACAGGGTTGCAATTGCTTGGAAGGCAAGACCCAGCAAGTGCCTTAGCCATAGCTCATTATCTTCAAGAGCAAGGGCAGTGATTGTATCTGGACCACCGAGATGCAAGAGCAAGAAAGGAACCCAGAAAGCTAATAATTCTCCGTTCTTGGCCGGTTCTCCGGGCTCCGGGTCGTCTCCTTGGCTATCTGAGATTTGTCCGGCGGCGAAATTGGCTGCCCAGTCGGCGAGAAGGTAAGCTGACCAGATGAAAGAGAGTAGGATTTTTCTTGATGTGCGTTTCCTTTGAGGTGCAAAGAAAATGAGAAATGTTTGGAGGCTGAGACTGAAGATTAAGATACTTCGGATGCTCCATGCGTCCCAGATGTCTTTTATTGGCTTTGGGATTGCGTCCACCATTCTTGAAACTGATTTAGTTCTTGATTTGTTGGAACAAGAGAAGAAAGAACTGATGGAATCTCAGACACAACACAGGCGCATCTAAAGGGATTTTGGTTTTTCTTCTTCTGTTTCTTTTTTCTGTTTTTTTTTTTTGTGCGAAAGTTTGAGTTATTCTTGGAGGACAGCCATTGGAGGCACCTTGAGGTTAGTCAAACATGTTCGCAGAGCTCTAAGTCTCTTTCTTTTTTATTTAGTTGTTCTTTTTATATTATTTAAAACGAAAATACATAAATATTCTATACTTATCTTGTTCTCTTCACTGTTACAAATTGGAATGGGAGACAACGTACAAAATTTGCCCATGTGACCACTTGTTACTTCTCCAAGAAACCTGCTAAAGTGGGTGCATACATTTATTTTGTTTATTTCTCAATTCATATTATTATCTACAACCTTTGATTCTTTTTAATTCTTTTTTCCTTTATACTCTCTTTAATATAAATAAAAAAGTTCGTATGATGATTGTTCAATGTAGGATTATCTATAATGAATTAAAGAATCCATTTGTCATTGAATCAAAATCACCTTTTTTTTTTCTCTTGGACCCTGCTTGGAATTACTCCAAATAATTACCAAATCCAGATAGGATATAGAACGTAGGGGCCACTACATTTCTTGTAAACATCTAATGTCTCCAAATAATTGAATTTACTGACCAACGTAATTACTGACCAACTAAATACTTTTCCCACGTCCTGTCATGTGATGATAAAAAAATATTACGAGAAACCGAGTTGGCAAACTTGAATTTAATATTAATATTTAAAATAGGTCGGATCCTGGATGTGTCTTTTTAAAAATAATAATAAAAGTGTATTTATTTCTACGACGACCTTTTCGTGCCAATGTGACGACGACTTTATACTGGGTCGTTTTTTATTATTATTTTTTTGTCGCCGTTTTTTATTATTATTTATGTTTCTAAACGTGGGAACGGCTATTTTGTATTTATACGAATAGTTAAATACATTTTAAAAATACTTTTTTTTTGCTAAACGAAATACTTTTCTTTTATACAGACCATTTGTGCTTATTGTTGTTAATTGGTTTCTTGCAGTAATTAAAAGCACGTAGGTTTTAGAAATGTTTTTATATGCATAATTGATCATATTTAAAGAGGTCAAGAAAATCTTTGATAAACAACGAAAAAAAAAACAACGGAGCTCAAAGCTAAATTTGGCTCTATATTACAGACTGTATTATACATCACTATTTTAGAACCTTAACTCGAGTAGTTGATACCGTGATTAATGAATGCTGATGTCACAAAAAAAAAAAAGCTGGAGTAATTGATATCCATTATCTCCCGACCTTTAATATTTTTCTTTTTCTTTTTAGTTTTCTTTTTTTCTTTTATACTCTGCTAAAAATATTGCCGGGAACCGAGGTGACATACTTTATTTATTTTAAAATTTACAAGTACAAGTGTACAACTGTGCATAAATTAATTCAATCATAGTTAGTTGGATATTTATTTTCACACATTTAAGTAATGGTTATGGACTTTTGGAACCAGCTGGGCAATAATTGAAGATTTGGAAGTATTACCATGACGACTATTTGTGTCAATAATATTGAGGTGACTATAAATGTAGAGCTTTTTTGTTACAAAAAAAAAATGTAGGGCTTTTTTGTCGTCAAATGTAATGTAGGGATTGTAATTATATTTTCCCAACGCCTCGATTAATCTATGCACGTGGAGACGGTGTATTGTGTACTTTGATATTTATAGTTAATGTTAATAGTTAATGACTTAATGTTAAGAGTACACAGATCATTTGAATTTAAGTAACAAAAATAGAAGATAAAAGTAAAAGTATAGCTTATTAAGTAAATAACTATTTAGAGTCCAAATGGACAAACATAAAGACACATTATCTTTATTTTTCTTCTGTTCTTTACTATACTTTTTCTGTGCATAACAAACAAAAATTATCCTATTTGATTTTTCTCTTTATAAGACTTTTTTTAAACATGTGTCAAAATCTAATTTAAATTTTCCTTTTTTGACATTATTGTTTAAGATCTAATATGAATTTTTAAAATATATTTTCTAAACTATCTTTTTCCTTTTTTAATAATTTTAAAATTTAATCGTATAATATTTTTAGCTAAAGTATATCCTTTTAATTTTATACGTTAATGTATGTATAATGTGTATATCTCCTTTTTCTTTTTATGTTAAAAAAGTAGTAATTATGAATTTAACATTATTGTTTCAGTTTTACATTCGTTATAGTGTTTAAATTCTTTTTAAATATATTTGCTTAATTTGTAATTCTTTCTTTCTTCTTTTCATAGAAGTTTTTAAAATTTTAAAATTTACTATTTTTTCTTGGTTATTTGATCAAAATGAGACTATATAGGTGAGTAATTTTCTTGATCTAAAACACATCAAACAAGTTGCAATTAAACTACTTTTAAATGTGATTCTCACTCTCTTTTATTCCTCCTATCCTTTTTTTTCTTTCCTTCTTCCCCATCACCATTCCTGCATTTTTCTCTCTCTTGTGTTAGCTTTGCTTGAATATGGCTACAGAAAATCCAAAGCCGGTAGAACCTCCAGTAGACAAACGCGAATTCATAATACGCTTCCAAGAAAAATATGAAACATGGCATCAAAAACTCCAAAAGAAGAAAGATACTTCTGAACAAGAAGACCCGAAGACGAAGATGATGGAGGATGATTCTTCTAAACAAGCAGAGTCGAAGACGAAGATGGAGGATGATCGTGTGGAAACCTTCTCCGAGCTTCCGAAACACGAAAATAAGAAGAACAAGGAATATGTAATCCACGGTTTTGAGAACGAGATCAAGTCGCTGGAGAACTTCTTGCTGGATCAGAAGGTCTACAAGGAGTTCAAGAGTCTTGTGGTTCTTGGAGAATACGGTGTGGGGAAGACAACATTGTGCCAGGCGATATTCAACAAATACGAAGTCAAGAGTGTTTACGCCCCGGGGATTTGGGTTTCTATGTACAGCAAAGAGGAGACAAAGGACGGAGAGGACAAGAAGATATCTCTGTTGAAGAGGATCTTGAAGGATCTTGGAGTCCAAGATAAGGTGTTGGCAACCATCAAGAACGAGGCTGTACAAGAATTTCATGATTATAAGGAATCTGGCAACAATGACGGAGAGACGAAGGAAGACAAGGAGTTCTTAGCTCTGCTCTATGCGCTTCACTTGAATCTGAGGTGGAAGAAGTATCTGATTGTGTTTGATGATGTCCGAGAAGAGGACTTGAACCAGATTCTTCAAGAACAAGATGTGGAGAAACTCAAAAAGGATAAGAAATGGGGAAAGCATCTTTCAGATGGATTCCCTAAAGGGTCTGGTGGGAGAGTCATATACACCACCAGGGTTGAGACATTGGCGAGGAAGCTAGTTGCAGAGGAACATGAGATTCATCGTCTTTGGCCTCTGTCTGATGATCAGAGTGTCTGGAATATCTATGAGGCAGTGATTGAAGACCACGATAAGGAACCTCCAAGGAACGACAAGAAATGCATAGATGACCTGATGAACAAGTCTCGTGGTCTTCCTCTGGCTGCTAAATTGCTGGCCAAGCTTGATCCTGTCTTCCTCGACGATGAAGTTGGCCCCAATGATTCTACCGATGGAACAACCGAAACCAACCAACAGGATCCGCCTCTGACTAGTGGATGAACTTGACTCAACCTCTTGGCTCAAGATTGCAGAGCCGTGTCAGTGATGGTTGTCATCAAGCTTGCTTTTGTTTCTCTTGATTTCTTCTTGTATGTGTTTGTCTTTTTTTTTCTTGATGTTGTCAGTTTGTCACTCTGCTGTTGTATCAATAAATCAGAATCTCTGAGAAGAGTTTCTTGAAAGGAACAATGTTTCTTTGACCTTGCAATCTTTAAGTGTTGTTGACCTTATCAGAAGAGAATAGATAACAGAAAGTTTCTCTTGCAGCTGCAGTTAATCAGAGCTCCTTGTTCTTAGCCACTCTCTGCAGTTGTAGATATAGAGATTGTACATCTTCTCAGATAATACATGTCTTATTAGAACACATATATAACAGTCACAGAATAAGCAAATCAAACACTCCAAACTCCTTTATTCAAATGTTCACACAACAACAACAACACTTGAAAGCCAAATCAGCAAAACATCTTAGAAAGCAACACACAACAACAACAACAACAACAAACCAAAAGGAAAGAAAACTTGAGAAAAGAGATAAACTCGCAGTTCTGAGCTGCTTACACTTGATGTGTTTCAGGGCTTGCGCCATATTCCAATTCCATCGCAGGGGCAGAAACTAACGTTAGGGCACTGATACTTCTCCAAGAATTCCAGATTTGGAAAGTACTTTTTGCTCAGGTCCCTCCACTCCACTTTTAGCTTGGGAAGAAACTTCAGACGTAATACCTTAACTCTGCATGATGGTCCCGCAGGTAATTCTCCGAATCCGGTAAGTTCCGTTCCTCCTTTAATGTAGAGTTTTTCCAGATTTTGTAGCTGATTAGGCCTAAGCCAAGTGGGAAGATCTGGATCAGGAAAACACTGCAGGTCCAGTTTCTTCAATGTAGTGGGAATACCTGGTTTTCCGGAATCTTTCTTATCACCGAAGATCCTGGTCACCGCTCTTTCCAACATCCCTTGCTGTTTCTTTGTATCCGCAGGAGCGGTTACCTCGTCTTTACCTTCCTGCTTGTTTCCTCCATCTTCGCCCTCATCCTTTTTTTCCTGCTTCTTTCCACCAGCTATGACCTTTTCCTTGTTCTCTGGACGTTTATTTATACCTCCCCAAGCAACTTTTAGCTTTTCTAGACTCTCAAAATTAATAATAGCCATGAACAGATCATCTACAGTGAAACCTCCTTTGTTTATTGTAATGGTTAGCTTTCTCAGCTTCTTCAAGTGACTCAACTCCTTTAGAGTGCAGACCGTTTCCTCTTCAGCATCACTAACCACAAAGCCCTTGAGAACCTCCAAGTCGTCCAGCCAGGACAACCTCTTTGGCATCCGATCTATCATGTAGCAGTCTGTAATGTCCAAGTAGATCAGCGCCTTGAGTGAATCTATCTTGTCTGGAAGTTTCTCCAGATTATAGCAGGCTCTGAGGTCCAAGATGATCAGCTCATGAAGCTTACAGACAGCATCGTCAAGTCTTTCAATTCTTGAGATCCCTTGAAAACTCAGAAGTTTGAGTTTCGTCATATGCTTCAAGTATTTCATGAGCTCAGGATTCTCTACCTCGATGTGGCGCTTCGCTGTTCTCTCCCATCTACCCAAATAGAAAACCTTGAGCATCTTATACGTAGTTTTTGATAGAGGATTGATCTTCTTGGTCCCTGATGATTTATCCTCCGAGAACCACTTGAATGTGAAATCCGGGAACCTCTCAGAAACATTGAACACTGTTTCGATGCCCACTGCCGGCATTTTTTTAGCTTTTGCTTCTTTTTGGCTTGAAGACTCTTCCACGAGGCAAACCTTATACAAGCCTGATTTTGTCATGGCTGGCTTTTCCCCTTTTTCATACATTTTAAAAAGTCCTATCTCCTGCGATATAAGAACAACCGAAGAATGCACAAAAGGGCTCATCTTGTAGCTATTTGGCTCCACTTTGCCTTTGTTTTCAACAGGTTCAATCAAGTTTCTATCCGTGAACTCCTTGAGAATCTTCTTGACGACATCTTCTGGTTTCTCTTCGCCTGGTTGGACTTTATAATCCAGAAGGCCCTCCCCGATCCACCAATACATCAGCATCGTTCTGTTCACCTCTTGATTCTCTGGGAACACCGCGAAACTCAGCAGGTAGATCTTCTTTTTAACATCAAGCTTCTCAAACTCGCCTTGCACGTATCTGTAAACCGCGTCTCCTTTTAGATAGTCTTTATCTGCATGGATGCCTTGCAAGCAAACAATACCTTTGCCACTGTTAATCTCGACATCCTCAGAATCCAAACCTCCTGTTTTCTTGCGTTTGTTTGGCAGCAAAGGGACCTGACACATGAGGTTAAAGATCTTCTTGTTGATAACCTCCAAGTCTTTCTTCATACCTTTGGTCAACGGAGGTTTGGGAGACTTCTTCTCCTCTTTTGCAACTTTATTAAGCAGCTCTTTAAGCGGCGTAATATATTTCTTCACCTCCTCTGCAACTTCGCTGCGAAGATCTTGCAGCTTAACTACATCCTCCCTGAGCAAACGGAGATTACGTTGCAGCTTAGAGATATGCAGTTCCTCCGTATTCTTCTTAGGATACTGGAGACTTAACAGTTTGTTCAGAGCCTTCTCTGGGGCATGAGCCTGAGCGAGCTCAGGACCAGCACTCCTATGCTTCCTCAGTGTTCCTCCCTCTCCCAGAGATTTACTAACTGTCTCTTGCAAACTGTTCACGATTTCAAGGAATGAATGGATTTTCTCCTCTGGATATGGATCAACTGGCTTATTATCCGCCTGTGTCTGCGTCTGCTCCTCGGAAACCATGACGCCTCAAAACGCTTTCTTCTCAGCACACAATCTGCAAAATCTTGAGAAAAGGAAAACGATCTGAACAAATTGCTCCAAGAAACAATCAAAATAAACCAAAAAAAATAACAAGAAACTGCATAGTTCTTAACACAATGATACATATCTGAGATTCACCTAAATGCACACTCAATTTACTACTCCCTACCATCTCTGTCTCCCTCTTTTTCGCAGGTCAGGCTATGAAAACAAAATCAATGATTCAAGCAAGTAACAGCTTCAATAGTCGCAGAGCTTGGTTAAAAAGTAATGGGATTTTTACAGAAATTCTACAGGTCAAAGTTACTCGAAGCGAATCCAAAACCAAAATCAGTAATCAAACCAAAGACAATGGATAAGAAAGGTTCGATCTGTTTTGCAGGGAAAATCAGTAATCAAACCTAAGAGGCTAAGACAATTGGATAAGAAAGGTTCGATCTTTACTGTAGGGAAAATCAGTAATCAAACATTTATCCGAGAGGAATTGATTCTGACCTGTTTCCCCGGAGAAGAAGCAATCCCTCTGCGTCTCCTTTGCAACTTCAGTCAATTGCCAAATGGGCAAATTATGAAGGAGACTTGAGAGAAGAAAAAGAACTAAACAGTTATTATAGTTTTGTTTATTTCTTTTTCTAAATCCTGAGATATACAGTACTTGAGACTTTAAAAAGTCTATGCTCAAAAAAAAAAAACAAAAAAAAAGTTCAGAATAAAACTGAATTTTGTTTGAAAACTGCTTGAATTTTAAAGAACGGAATATTTAACTTGTTTTCAAATGATGTAAAAGAAAACAAAAACAAAACATGTCTTTAATTCAAATGATTAAAACAACGTTTATATCAAAATGTAGGGAGTAGTATCTATAATACTAAAAATAGAATATTATTTATACGTAATTACACATATAGATAATTAGATTAGGTTCAGCATCTCATGCGGGTAAAATATAAAATATGGATTTTAAACTGATAATATTCATAACTAAAACCTGTATAATTTATTTTTTAATTAAATATTTAATTCACAATTAAAAATTTTAAATTTGATTTATATTACCATAAATATCCATCTAAATAAATATATTATTCTTCTATTTTATATAGATTTTGATAGTTATCATTTTTTCAATTTTGTAGTTTTATTTTTTTCGTATTTTCTTTGATTTATTAGTTTTTTTTAAAAAAAAACATTGAAAATGGAAAATTCATATTATTATGTTGACATATATCACTATCTTAATCAACCACGACACACATGTCAAACAATGCAATCTTCCTCCAATAGAAGTTACCCGGTATTTATTTTTCTGCTTGTTTTTTTTCTATGCAATTACTCTATAATTATTATCACAAAGTATTTATTAATAACCTGAAGAATTATTATCATAGAGTCTTTATTAATTTAGAGAGTATTAATTCAAAGAAGTTTTAATGTACATATTTTCTTGTTAACCAAAAATGTTTAGAATATTTGTAAAATATAGTACTATATAAATTACTACGAATCAAAAGAAAAAAAAATATTACGCATTTGGTTGTAAATGAGTTCACAACTCCCCTTTAAACAAAAAGTAACAAACAAAACCGCTCACAATCCAACTGATAGTTAAGTAATAATTAACAATATTTTTTAAAAACAATTGCAAAATTAAAACAACTTTTGCGTGCAATAAAAGAATGACAGCTGGCTTAAAGTATATTATTTATAACTTATAAGAATCTTTTATTTTGAAGAAACTATTCAGTCCACAATTACAGAGTCTAACATGAGTTATTACTACTAATTTACCCATTTATAAACACTATATCGGTGATTATTGAGTATTTTTAAATTGAGGAAATTTGATTTAATATTCCAAAATTTTTATATATTTTGAAAACTAATCCTGTTTTAAAATGTTTGAAAACTAACTTATTAATTAATTAACAGGATAATTATACCTACAATGAATTTTAAGAATTTATTAATACAATTAATATATTGAGTTTTGATTATTAATTTCGGAATAGAATATATATTGTAATAAGGCATTCTCCTAAATAATAATATTATACTCCTTCTGTTTCACAAAGAGTGTCCTTCTGACATTCTGCACACAAATTAAGAAATAAGATAAAAGGTCTCTTATACCCTTATTAATTTGCAGAAAATAACTTTTGGAATTATATTTATAACTAATTTTCTGAATTTTTTTTAGTTTAAAAATGGTATTTTATGTCAAAAATTACATTGAAATTCTAAAACGACATTCTTTTTGAAACAAAAAAAAGTGTCAGAACGACACTTTTTGTGAAACGGAGGGAGTATATAAATATACATCTACTAGTGTAATTCAAAAAGAATTTACTTACCAATTACAATTTGTGAACCCAATTGCAGAAATTAAGACATACCACTCTAGTTGAATTATATATTTTCAGCATCCAATCAATATATTCTACCATGAACCTAGGTGAATGCAATACAAAAGCAGGAATTCAAAATTTACCAGCACACAGGTAAAATGGGAGCATGAAAAATTGTTGGATTCATTGTACATAAACAAAATTCCACATAAAATTGAAAAGTAGAGAAATACCAGATCTCAAAAGCTAAATTCTATTATGTTAAAATGAGAAAATTTGAAATTACATGTAAAACCAATAGAAAGCAGAACAGAAGAGTAATACCAAAATCCAAAGTCACACCTAAAACCAAATTGAACAATAATTATAAAAACTAAAACAGATTCAACCTATGAATATTCATAATAATTTCATATGCCCCAGAATGTCTTAATTTAACTAATAATTTTGAAATAATATGTTTGCATTCAGTTTTAAATCACTCAAGAATAATATAACTAAATTTTAAAACAAATCATTTAATTTGTTTGATTTATCTTGGGTATTTTGGAAATTTTAAATGCAAAGTTAGTTTTCAAACTTTTTAAAAAATGGGTTAGTTTTCAAAATTTATATATTGTTTGAAATATTAAACCAAATCTCCCTTTAAAATTTGCATATTATTTTTCGTGTAACTAAAATTATCACGTCTTACATACAACGCATAGTACATTTGTAGATATTGGTCGCTTAAAGCCTTAACCATGATCTAAACATGATACCACGTAAGCGTTACTGCTCCGCACATGGAATTTAAATGATAAGTTATTTAAGACTGTAATGATAAGTTAAGACTGTAATGATAAGTTAATTATTCAAAGCTAAGTAATTTGATTTTAATTGCAGTAATAAATAAAAGACCCACTCGTTATTAACTTATTAAAGTGTACACCGTTTCAGCGAGCATAGATAATTAAAAGCCCTACAAAAATAGTCACCGCAACTATTATGTACACAACAAATAGTCGTCATGGACCTCATGGTATAATACTTCCAAATCTTCAATTATTAATTAACAATGCCCAGCTGGTTCCTAAAGTCTATACCCATATACTAAAATGTTTGAGAATAACTGTATTTGATTTAGTTTATTCACAGTGCTACTTGTAATATTAAAAGCGTAACACTAGCTAGAATATAGGATAAAGATTGATTATGTCAACTCGGTTTCGGACAATATTTTGTTTTCAACATACTTGGTACCGCTCGTTTATTTTTCCAATAAGGTTAATTTGCTTCATTCACTCTCTACATTGTATATGTGTGTATAATATATATATAATTTTATACGTAAGTTTTAGCAGAGTATAAAAGAAACAAAAAAGAAGAAAAATATATAATTAAAGGTTGGGAGATAATGTATAACAATTAGACAAGGCTTAGAATAATGTTTAAGACAGTCTGTACTATGAGCTTGCGGGAACTCAAGTCAATTGTTTTGATTATATACAAATGGTCATAGGCAAAATTAGCTTTGTTGAGCTCTCTAGTTTATCAAATATTTAGGTGACCTCTTTAAATATGATCAATTATTCAATTATGCATATAATAACATTTCTAAAACATACGTGCTTATTTACTGCAAGAACCAACTTATAACAATGAAAAGCACAAATGGTCTGTATAAAAGTATTTTGTTTGCAATAAAACTATTTAACTTTAAATACAAAATACACGTTCCCACGTTGATATAGACATAAATAATAATAGTAAAAAAAGACCCAATATAAAGTCTTCGTCACATTGGCACAAAAGGTCGTCGTAGGATAATAATATAATTTCATAGCTTCTTAGCATAATCTCTGTTATTTAAAAATTATACATCCAAGCCAACTGTTATAATAATTCAAGTATGCCAACTTGGTGTCTGGAGTTTATTTTTATCATATAACATGACAAGACGTGGGAAAAGTTTTCATTTGGTCAGTAAAACATAAAATATTTATGTTGGTCAGTAATTCAATTATTTGGAGAAGATTACAATAATAAAAGATGATTACAATAAATATGATTACAATAAATATAGTTGCCATACGTTCTATATCCTATTCCTATTCGAATTTGGTAATAATTTTGTTCCAAGCAGGTCCAAGGGAAAAAGGTAATTTTGATTAAAATGTGACAAATGGATTCCATATTAATCCTTCACTAGGAATTAATCCGCGTATAGCGTGATATGCGAAATTATAATATTTTAAATATTATTTTAGAAATTAATTTTAAAGTTTTTAGTTAGAAATTTTAGTTACGGAAAATTATAACAAAATAAACAGTTTATTTATCTTGTTGACAAATCATAATAAGTTGTTTATTTAGCTCATTGACAATTATAATATTTAATAAAATTAAGTATACCACTTATTTTTAGAATTATTATTTTGAATTGCAATTTTTTTTTGTAGATTTTCAAAAATTAGAATCATAACTCGTTCATATTAGATTAAACCATTTATTTAGCCCGTTTTTTACTCGATGTAAATATAACTTTAAAACCATTAATTCTAATATGCACCAGACTTTCATTCCACCATGAATTTAAAAATAAAATAAAAAATTCTCAAGTCAAACTTTTTAATAAAATAATTTTTTAAAATATATATATGATCATGTAAAATCTAGCAGATTATAGTATTCAATATTTTTTACTATCATAACTTTTAATTTTGATTTTTCACATTTGAATAATTTAGAGTTTTTTTAATTGAATATATTAAATAATATTATTTGAAATAAAAAATATAAGAAAATATCATATCTTTATATTTAAAAATTAAATAGTAAATATACTCTATTAAATGACAAATATAGACTTTCCATTTTTTAATAGTTTTGAAAGACAATTATATCCTTTCCTATTTTAAATATTCTTTGTTATTTGTAATAGTATTTCATGTAATAATCTACAAAATAAAAATTATTTTTTAAAATGTCTACTCAGTGAACTTTTAGCCGAATATAAAGGGAAAAAGTAAAATTAAAGGTTGTGATAGTTATATTACTTGAGAAATAAAATAAAACAAACCTACTTTAGCAGGTTTCTTGGAGAAGTAACAAGTGTTCACATGGCCAAGTTTTGTAAGTTGTCTCCCATTCCAATCTCTAACGCTACTTGAGATAACCTCGTATATCTAAATTAACATATCTGAGTACTGATTCCTTAATATTGACAATATAATTTTCACAAAATAAAACGAAAAAGACAAAATAATTTTTAGCTTAAAATATTTAAGTGTTGTT